TGCCGTTAAGGTCGTATTTCCAGTGCTTGAAATGATACTCAAGTCTGCTCAAATCCTGACTTGAGCATTGAGTAGAGTTTTGGAATACGACTCTAAGTAGCGGTCTAGTTGAGGGTCTGAAGTGAGGAGACGCGCAGGCCACGTGAGTCGCCCTTTAAGTTGGAAGCTATGGTCGGACATTGTCGCAGGACACTGCGACTGGCATCTCCGGCACTAGCCCGGAGAGCTAGTAGAGGATAAGCTAGATATCCTCCGGTCCCTCCAGCCGCTTAGGTTATTGAAATTGGGAAGTGAGCCTACAGCTCCTATACCTATCTGGAAAATATTTAAGGTACTGTACGTGCACCCGGGGCGGCTCACCGGAAGCACTAGCCTCTCTAGAACCGAATGAAGTCAAGTGACAGAGGTCTGTGACACCCTGTACACTGGCTGATCTGGGCTCAGAATTTTAACCTCTAAGGTTACTGTGCGCGCACAGGTTATAGTGCCCTTCTTGTATACCCTAAGGGTCGCTAGAGAGGGTCACTATAATCAAAACTAATGTAGAAAGGTAAGGGGGTGTCTCGCACTTTCTCTTATTGATGGGTCTTATTATCGTGCCTGCTTTCGTGGCAAAGGAGCTGCACAAGCTGCCCCCTGTCACGTTCGACCATGTCGATGTCACTAGGCTGCTTAAGGACATCACATCCCTGAAAGCAAGTCTGGCCGAAGTTCAATGTAAATTGGAGGCTTCGGATAACACCATCTGTGAGTTACGTGCCCAAGTTGTATTACTGAGTAGTGCAACTTCGGTAAGTAGGTCACCCGAGGCCTGTAACGTGAATACTCGTCGCGGGGCACATAATGCATCTATCGGCAGTTTTGAGTCGGCCCATACGGATGCGTCACCGACCGCTGTCGCTGAGCGCGATTCCCCGCGCCCCGCCCCTCGATTGTCTGCTCCGGCGGAGACGTCACGCGTAAACACGTTGACCCCTCCACGTGATTACGCCGCTGTCGCAGCTGTTAACCGACCCGTTGCTCCACAACCACAAGCCAGGCAGCTATCAACGAAGGGGATGAAAAAACCTCGTGTACCTGTCTCTGAAGTTGCAAAACCACAGAGGCAGACGGACCGGTGCGACGATGACGGCTTCACAAAGGTGGAGAAGAAGAGGAAGCCCACCAGCCGTAACCTGTGCGGCACTGCGCCGACAGGGTCCAACTTTTTGCTGCGTCCGGCAATCCCGACAACGCTGCTGTACCTGTCACGCCTGCATTACTCCACGAAGTCTGAGGAGATAGTGGAGTACATCAGGTTGAAATCCAAATACACCCTGAGGGTCGAGCGGTTGGAGTCTCGCCACTACGTGAACTTTAATTCGTTTGTGGTGAGAGTGCCGACCGAACATCTGTCGACCTTCATGAAGGAGGAGTTCTGGCCGAAGGGTGTCCTATACCGGCGATTCCGTGGCCGGTTGCCTGACACCAGATGGCGCCACACGTCGCCGACAACCTAAATACGTGTTAAATTAGTAATTAGTGTTATTTTATATTGTTATGTATGTTAGTCTGTAAGGTATGTATCTATGGGTCTCAGTAACCTGAATATAAATAAAGAAATAGAAATAAAAAAATAGAAAAATAGAAAATTATCTAGCAATAAGAAAGCGGTATGTTTAATTTCCCCGACTGCGAAGCCGACAGTCAGCACTAATTGTGAATTTATGTGATACGTTATTGTCATTATTAATGTACTAGTGAGTCTGCCGGCCGCGGCCGCAATACGTTGCACTGACTGTTTTATAAATGTGTAGAGTAATTATCAAGTGTTTTATTTACGTATACATTTTTTCCTACACCTTTTAAACATTAGAAAAAATAGGTTTTTAAATAAACTTTAAAGAATTTTTACTTAAAAAAATTTAGTAGCGGTAGAACTCCTTGTGAAATCGTTGGTCCAGGGAAATATGCTACCTTACCTATTTCTGCGCCAAGCTTGTCAACTTACGTCTCAGGGTAACGAGCGCAGTGGTAGTGTCCCTAAGATTAAATTGCGATTTAAAGCTCTGAGTGGCACTGCAACTGTTAAGGACAGGCTTACTGTCGCTTACTGTTACGAACCGGTCTTATAGTCGCGCTCGGCACGAGACGCGGGGAAGAAGCTACGGTTAGCGTGACGTCACGGCGAGCGGCAGCGGCGCGGGCGCACGCCTTATCGACAGCCACCGGCGACTGTCGACCCCTATACATTTATATATCCCGGACATAATTCGAGCCACCACGCATTTTTGTCGTAAAGGGCTAGAATACAAAAATAGTGTTATCACCGAAGAAACAGTTTCCCCCGGTTTTGCAAATCAAATTCCCAACAAGGACTTATGGAAAAAACATTTAGTATACTAGTTTCAAAATTGCATAATACTTTTTTATCAATCGAACATTGTTTAAGTTTAGGGCACTTAATACTGAAAATGAGTGGGTGCTCGAATTATGTGTCCGGAAGTGTATAATAATATACAGACCAGTACAGCTGTATAATTGAGACGGCGAATATACCAGTCCTATTGCAAATACAGTCCACTATATTTCACGTCTCTTAGGACCCTAAGGGCGCGTTCCCACTATGTCGTCACGTTTGATTATCGTTGGACGACTGTCGTGTCTAGCCTGTTCCCATATCACGACTATCTGTCGTGGACGATTTTTTATCGTTGAACGACTGTCGTGACTAGCTGTTCCCACTAGATCGTGACGACAATAGGAGTTGGGACAATCTGTCGTCACGTTTTTATCGTGACGTTTTTTTATCGTCAGACGACTGTCGTTCTAGCTGTTCCCACTGTCACGACAGTTTGTCGTTATAACGATAAAAAATCGTGAACGACAGTTAATCGTGTCGTGCTATATGTGAACAACTTTATTTAAATATACAAACCACGATACTGTAAACTGCATGACATAGTGGGAACGCGCCCTAACACTTACCACCAGGCGCACCACTTGTTCGCCCCGTCATTTGGTATTGTTCTTCCATAGACTTCTGCTTTCATAAGTTGACCATGCTCACTTATTAACATAGCTCTCAGTCAAGGCATTTTACTCGAGATGTACTTTTTAAAGAAAGGATGGTAATATAGATTTTAAGACTTTCGTGGTTATTCACTAAATGATTATCACTAATCAGGTTTTTTAATGGATATAATATAATAAAAAATAATAATAATAATAATATTAAAAAAAATAACTTACTAAATGATTATCAGGTTTCTTACCACGGTATGACTTCTTTTTATTTTCCCGATATTTCGGAACGGTTGCACGCTCCATAGTCACGGGTTGAGCTTAATTAATTTAAGTTTTGAAATGTTTAAATATTTTAAATATAATAAGTTTATACATTAGAAAGCTATGGTTATGGAAAAGCGAAGTCCCCTACCACAGGCAATACTATGCTTAAACGGATACTAATATTGTAAAATGTAAACAGTTAAAGAAAATAAACTATTATTATTATTAATGTAGAAAGACAAAAATTATTCCAATTTAATTCTTATCAATTATTTAATGTTACTCTAGTAATCCCGTAAAATTTGAAATTAATTTCGTTAAGTTTTTATTTCATGACACCAAGTGACTGGACGAATAAGTCGTGAGCCTGGTTGTAAGTTACACGCCTGTCCATAACAGTTGCAATTAAGTCAATGGTTGCAATGCTACTCAGAGCTTTAAATCGCAAACATCTGAGAGGCACTGCCAATGCGCCCGTCATCTTGAGACATAAGTCAACAAGTCCCATGTGCCTGTAATTTCACCAGCACCCTTACCCTTCAAAACCGGAACACAGTAATGCTGACATTACTGCTTGGCGACAGAAGTGGGTAACTCTTTCACAAGGAGCTCTACTGCTACTAAACTAATCAATCTTATATAGCAAATGGCAGAAAATTATTTATTAGCATACAAACATTTGCACATTGTAAGAGTAACCGATTAGGCTTAGTTTATATTGCGTCGGAACAGAATGGAAGAGAATTATTGTAATTTTTACTTAAATAGACTGAACTACGGATAAAGCCGGAAGATCTTTTGTGAGCGAAGCTTGTGATTAGTAAATAAGTATTTTTTTCTGTATTTTAGTCAATAAACTAAAACAAAAAACAGCATAATTAACTCTATGGTCCATTGTATAACGAACAAAATAGATACGGGCCAAAATCTTCTGCGGAATTCTAGCGTGTGCTGGAGAATGTTCGCGTGTCTATTTTGTTCGTTATACAATTGACGATAAACGTTCATTAAGCAACAGCACATTAGATTACACATTTTTGTTCGAAAATCGCCTCCAGTGCACCGGAACAAGATACATCAATGTGTAGCTTGATGTGCTGTTGACTGTACAACAAAACCTATACAAAAATTCGCTTCCATACCGTTACACAGCAATATATGTAAAATTAAGACTTAAGATGATTGAATATTGGTTATTTTATGACTATTTATGAAATTATTTTGTTTTAAATTGTAATAAATTATTTTTATTAACAATAAACTAATCCAACTGTGAAATTCAGAAACTAATAATCGATTAGATCGGGTTATCACTACGTCATTTGGTGTTAGATTTTGTTATTTGTTTCAAAACGTGTCTACTATTGTACAGTCAGCATCAAAATTATCTGAACGTTTTTGTAAATATGTATACATTTTGTAAAAAACTAACCTTGTCACAATAAGTTGACAGCGCACTTTCAGTACTTTTTTACAAATTTGAAACTGTGCTTGGTGAAGGAGTAGACTTATTTTGATGCAATCAGGACAATCAAATTAATTAACATAGAATATTTGACTGTTTATATGGCCGGAAAAAAAATCTATTTTCCCAATTTTATGACACACGTTACAGCAATCAATCAAATAATTAATTATCAATGTCTCAGACATTTAGTGGAATTCGTCAAGATTCGTACGTTAATCCGTATTGCTTTAAGATTGATTAGAAATGTTGGCGAGTTGCCTACCCATTGTGGGGGCCAACTCAGTGGGAAACAGGATGTCGAAGTCAACAGGTATCCTGCTCTTCTTTTTGGCCGTCGTCGGGCAGGTAAGAAACTTTTAAATAGTGTAAGGAAATAATCTACATATACTTTTGATAACGACATTTGAAATGTGTAAACATTTATGGTAATTAAATTTATGTAATTTTTTTTAGGTGCTAAGCGACGATGTAGAAGTAGGTTTCGTAGAAAACTTCGCAAAGCGCGAACTCAATGGTAAGACGTATTTTAAATTACATTTTGCGAACGAGAATACCAGGGAGTATTATATATGCATTATGCAAACACTAAACCGAAAACATATTCCTTTTACTTTTTTTTCTCATTTATTTTAATGAGAAGGATTTTAGATGTTTCAACTGAATCAAATCGAAGTGAAAACTGATTCGGGATACAAACAATATATTTATTATTTCTTGAATATAAAATTATTAGAGAATGTATTCCCTAATTTTCTAAATTCTTTTCTATTTTCAATATAAAGGTGCCTATAGATTTGCTCGATTTTTTGAAGATTGACACGTGTGATCAAACAATACGAGCACCTAAAGGTGTAAGCAACAAACGCTCGACATCGTATTTTTGATCAACATGTGTAATCAGTCAGAAAAACGGGCTAATTTTAAGAAATAGATGATCGATATCGTATTTTTTGTGGATCGACATGTATAATCGGATGAAATCGAATAAATGTGTAAACAACAACAATCGACGACAGCGCATTTTTTTTTATTGATGTAGAATTTAAATGCAAATCTGTTGACTATTTACCCTGATATTTATCGATCGATAAAATTGAGCAAATCTAATGGTACCATTATTATTTTTATCGTGGAAATTGGGCTCGGGCAGTCTTGTGAGTTGTGGATATCTTAGAGAACATTAGGGTTGAATGACGATGAGGACAATCATGTACAACTAATAATAATTGCAATTAGGAGGGAGCCGCATAGTGTCAGGCTGGGAAGCGGAACCAGGACAACATCCACATCAGATCTTGCTACGCGTAGTGAATTGGCAGGGAGGTGTGGGGAGCTGCGGCGGTTCTGTCGTATCCAGGGAGTGGGCCATCTCAGCCGCACACTGCACTGCTGCGTAAATATTGCTTTAAGTCTTTATTATGCTTGTGCAAATTTTACAGTTTGTTTGATTACGGAACGTTAACAGTAGACCTATTACGACTGTAAAGTGGCCGCAGCCTCTTATAGCATCAATGCGGTCCCCAACCCGTTGGCCAAACGACAGATAAGACAAACTCACATTGTTTCGGAACGGCCTGTTTGTTGGTATAAAAATAAGAAATAAATCGCAAATAAAAAAAAAATATTTTGGAAAATGATCTCTGACGTACGCCTTAGCCGAGATTAGGGTACGTACGACGTATGCTCAAAGACAATTTATAAAACTACCTACCTATCTATACAACCTTGTGAACAAAGAAACCAATATTTATTGTAAAACTTCCCGGGAATGTAAAAAGATACTAGAGGATTGGCTAAAAATAAAAACTTATGATGACATTGAGGCTCTAATAAGGATTGGTGAGTAACCTACTAAAATAAATAAATAAATGCATAATAAATTAAATCAATATTTATTTACACAACCAGATATGTAGTACTTATACGTTCTGTTACGCACGCAAGCACACACATACACACGCACACACACACACACACACACACACACGCACACACAGACTTACAGACAGACACAGACATATACCATACATACACATTAATTATCCGCATCTTTCTTAGTTTTATTTTAGTTAAATATTTACGGATAAAAAAAAATTGTAACCCTGAAGAGCGGGGCTTCTAACACAAGTAACTTCTACTTACAAGTAGCCCCAACAACAAATGGATACTGTAATTACTTTTATCTAGCTAATAAATGTTTTTTATTACTTTTATCTAGTAAATAAATGCCTTGTATATTAAATCATTACCTGTTGTGCCAAAAATGGTACTAGCTGATGGCTCAAGTGGTCTGGATGTGAGCTTAATGTTAAAGTTGCTGCTTATCGATATTGTACAGGGCATATCACGGAGAGTGTGCGATGGAATTGCATGATTTAATTCCGCCTTCCCCTTTGTATCATTGGGAAACTAGAGATAGACATGAGTTCCACTCTTATATTATGGATATTCCAAGGTTTCGCACGAAGCATTACAATTCCAAATGTATATGGCGAAAGATTATGGAGTGGAATTCCCTACAGACTTATTGCCTGAATGCTATATCTTGGTTTTTTTCAAGGCGAGAATGAATAGGCATTATTGAGGTGTGCATTCTCCATCATCGACCTCATCGTCACTTTCCATCAGGTACGATGGAGGTCAAATTGATACCTGGAATTTAATTTTTTGGTCATTTTCTGTTATTTTTGTAAACAGCCATATTTATTTAATAGTTGTACTCCCCTAATTTTGTGAAAATTAAACAAAAAAAAAGAAACAAAACACAAAATAAAAACAGAAAAAAATTAAAAATCCAAAAATTAAGTTGGTGTAGTGTTCATTGGAGGTATCGAAATGCGCAATTATATTTTTTTTTTTTTTTTTCTTTTTATTGAGGAACAAACAGTTTTTTACAATGATGAATTATAGACAACATTAACTTATTACTAAACCTATAGTTCCCTGTACTAATACATAGGTAAACAAGTTTGAGTTTCATTACATACGAGCAATGCTCGGTAAATGTATTTTAGTTGACAAAATTGTATGAAAGTTGAACAAAAAACAACTAATAACGATAACACAAATTCGCTCTTAAATATTCAATTTGCTAATGTGGATTTTAAACTCCCGCAAAGAAGTGTCAAATATGTCAGTTTCACTACATTTTGCATTGTATAAAGAACAAGTCCTTTTTATAAAACTATTGCTACCGTAACATGTTTTACTAAACTTAACGACAAAAAGATCCTTTTTACGACTGGCTCTTTCGTTATTTCGCGGCACGCGAAATAATATATCTTCCAACAAGAGGGGGGAGTCTACAATGTTATGCAAAATTTTGTATAGATACGTCAGGTCAATTAGAGAACGGCGTTGCTGCAATGGAGCGATATTGTACACCCTAAGGGATGACTCGTAGTGTACGTGATCATGATGCATCCTATAGTCCAGAGCTTTGATGAATTTATGCTGTATCCTTTCTATTTTATTTTGGTGTACATTTTGGTACGGATTCCATACAGAGCTTGCAAATTCGAGCCTGCTGCGTACGTACGTATATTCTATAAACAATGTTGTTTCATTTGCAGGCAAGTGGCTGTGGTTATTCGTGCGGGGGTTACCACCATGACCCGGCCGCAGTATATATCAGAAACAACGGAGTGGTACAACTATCCCACATTCGATGAGAACAGGCCCTTGGTCGTGCAACCGAATGATATATCTATTATGAAATTGTCGCCTCGTGTCACTTACAATGGTAAGTTTGGAATAAATAGCCTTGGAATGCCTGATAAACAATACTAGAGCAAATATAACAACGATAAATTGCCATTTTAATATTGCAGGCGCTTTAATAATAAATAAAGAAACATATCTTTTATCCGTAATCGATTACACAATATTTACACATGTCACGTGTACCATGACTGCATTAGCAGTTTTTCCATAACAAGACTGTTTTTAAGGTCACCAAAATTGATACTTTTATTTTTTTATGTATTAAGAACCTTTAGGAACTTCAGGTCGCCAAATATAGGAGCTGGGTAGCTGCAGGTACTCTTCAGTGAAAAACCGATTATGAGAGTTGGAATCAGAACTAGAAATCAACAACAAATCTCAAAGCGCTGAATAGTTTACTCTCTGAGTATACAATACACAATCAACCAATCAGAGGGCCTACGTTATTTGCAAGAGCAAGACAGACAGACATAATATCTCACTAGTATAAAAATACTCGGCTCATGGATTTGACGCGCAGAACAAAATGACCGTTGCGGCGAGCAGACGTGACGTATGCAGCTACAATCGTTTATTTATCTTGCAGAATATTTAAAGCCGATTCGCATACAGAGTTCTGCTGATGCCTTCAGGAACTATGACGGAGAACAAGTATACGCCAGTGGTTTTGGCAGAACGTGGACTGGGGGTAACCTTTAATTATTTATTTAAATGTTTCATTATATATAGCGCAACCTTAAGGGTGACACCAGACGAGCGTAATGTTGTGAGTTGCGTTTTTTGAGTTGCGCAGTTTGCGCTCGACCGAAACTCGGTTGGAGCGCCAGACGAACATATTTTATTCAGTTGCTTTTAAGCGTGTGTACAGGGCGTTTGTGTCGTAATAGTGTAATGGATCCATTAAAAATAGTATGCATTTATGAAACATTAGAAGACGATGTTAGAAAAAGAAGCTGGGTACTCAATATGAAACGATTAAAGTGGGCATTTTCATATACAAGTTTATGTGAACATCCTGTTCAATTTGTTAAGTACTACCACATGCCAATAAATGTTAAGACTAGTAAAACCTTTTATCACTAAGTCAGACACAAATATGAGGCAAGCCATCAGTCCAGAGGAAAGACTAATAATAACAATCAAGTAAGTTGTTAAATTGTTTATATTTTAACTCCGTATCTAACATTTTCGCAAGAAACGTCTATACTCACGCGCAGCCTATACCAAAGTGACCCCTTCCCTCGCCAGCTCGTCCCACGATGCGACCGAAAGTCAGTCGTCATTACGCCCATGAATCGGCAGATAATTAATTTTCGTTGTCGTGTGAAACAAACACTTTACACAACTCACAAAATTACGCTCATCTGGATAAGGTCGAGTAGAATATCATGGACAACTTTTACTTTTTGACCATTTCTCTGTCAGTGATATAGAGAGAAAAATGTTTTAATTGCAGGTTTTATACCTGAAACTTTGAACTGGGTGTATTTGCGAGCAGTTTCCAATCAAAACTGTGCCAGTACCTTCGGTACAACGCTGGTTACAAGTAACACTATCTGTGCACGCTTCTGGAACGTAACTTCGCAATCTATTTGTCAGGTACAAACTAAATTTTGTAGGTTCAGTCTTTGTTTTATTTTTATATTTAAGTGAGTCCACTAATTCTGAACGAATTTGTTGGACTACAAATTTGGGTTCGACTCACTGCGTACTCGACGTAGCAAAGAGATTTTCTAAACAGGTTCTAGAAGCAATGATCTTAGTGTAGAAGTAAATTCATTTTACATATGGAAATAAAGAGCCTGTCAATATTCATTACTACATGGAAAACTGGCTCCGTGGCCGAACAGTTACGACTCTGGACTGCCACGCAAAGGTCCCGGATTCGATTTCTGGGCCGGCTGAATTATTTGTAAGGCCTACATTCATTTCTTTCGTGAGTTCGGGTGTAATTTGTGGTTGTCTATGTCCATGGCACCCGCCACACAGGGTTTCCCTAATGAGGGGCTATGAGTGTGTATGTTAAAAAAAAACAAAACGTCGTTTTTTTTATTTTGACCAGAGTTATAAATAAATATTTAACTCGATTCCTTTTGTTCCACAGGGTGACAGCGGTGGTCCTTTGGTACATGTCGGCGTAAATGGCCCTACACTGATCGGTGTATCTTCATTCGTCGCCGGTGGCGAATTTGGATGTCACTCCGGCTTACCAGGAGGTCAGTGCTGTCGAACTTGAAGTCCTCAGTGCGACGTGAGTTGTTAAGACAGTAAATACTAACAATAGGATTTTTAATTTGCAGCATTCATGCGTCCCGGGCCATTCCTTGGTTGGTTCAAACAAGTTACAGGTGTTGATTTTGAGAATCTTGATGAAACTGAGGAAGAGACGACATTACCGCCTCCTACGACTATAGATACAACTACTGAGGATTCACCACCTCCGACTACGAAACTTCCTGACCCAACAACTCCGGAATCTGAAGAGGAAGAAGAAGAGACCGATGAAGATAGTTCTTCCGAAGAGGACAAAGAGACAGCCGATCTTCTCAAGCGACTGCAAGTCAAGATCAAAGTAAAAGTCAAATTGGACAAGTTTAAGAAGAAACACGTTATTGATAAGGTTCATGAGATACGTGGTTAGGAATGTATGTGAAACTTGTAACTATCGATAAAAAGCAAATAGGCTCAAAATAAATAGTGCAAAAAAACCGACCTCAAAAGTCATTCATCCCCTACTTTACCAGCCTTAAAGGTGGAATATTTTCTTGAAATTGAAATGGGACCACATCTGAGGTACCTTCTTTCCAACAAAAAAAGAATCATCAAAATTGGTTCACAAATGGCGGAATTATCGCGTAACATACATACAAAAAAAACATACAGACGAATTGAGAACCTCCTCCTTTTTTTGAAGTCGGTTAATAAATGGGAATATTATTAAACATAGCGTATAAGGTATTACCCTTATTGGTCATTCTCGGACTAGTGTTCATTACCTGATTTCCGAGGCAATTTTTATTGTTCAAGTATTCGATTTTTTTATTGCGCAATAATTTTAAAATTCGAGTAATGTATCTTGAAATATTATATAATAATTACACGATAGTATACTTGAATATTTAAATAATAAAAATTGCCACGGAAATTAGGTAGTGGATACTAGTCAAAGTCAAAGATTATTTATTCCATAGGTAAAATAAATTTACACTTGAAAACGTCACATTTAAGATACTGCTCGTTCACTACGCTGACCTCCCTGAGAAGAACGAGCAAGAAACTCTAGGGATTGCTCTTTTCAAATAAACTTAAATGGTATGGAATACACTTTGAATCAAATTTGTGTGGATTCTGAAGCTCGTGTGGCGAGTGTCGTCTTTCCATACATCTTTATCTAATACGTAGCCTTCAATTTTCTAATATTTCTAAAAACTACATCAAAAATATTTTGATCGAAAAATCCGATCAAAATATTTTTAATGTAGTTTTTAAACTACACTTTAAACTTAGGAAATGATAAACTTAATTATATGCTCCGGAATCTTATTGTAGAAACGTATACAGTTCCCCATAAAAGAGTTGTTTACCTTGATTAAACGAAATCGTGGTCCCATGAGTCTGGACTTAGCTTTAAAGTTAATATTATGGATATCTTCTTTCTTATTGAAATTATGTATATTTTTACGGGCATATATAAAATATTTGAGTAAATGTACTGTGATGCCACAGTCATGATACCAGTCTCCTTGGACTTTTCTCTGAGAGAAACCGAGAGCCTAGACGGTACACAGAACGAATCGCTCGTTTTTGCAATACAAATACGGTTTGAATATCTGCCGCACATTTACCCCACATGAGAATCCCGTAGGACATTATACTATGGAAGTAACTAAAGTAAACTAGTCTAGCAGTACTAACATAGGTAAGCTCACGTATTCTGCGGACTGCGTATGCAGCGGAGCTTAAACTGCTGGCCAGCGAAGCTATATGTGGAAACTATTGAAGTTTACTATCTAAGGTCACTCCCAAGATGCCTGTTTTTTTAACAAGGTCTAACTTTTCTCCGTTTATTTCTATGCTTGGACTAGTCGATTTACGTTAGGTAATTCGTAGTCCGAGAATGACCGTATTACGCAGTGTTTATGGTGTTTTATTTCCACAAACCATTATAGGACCAGAGCGGTGAATTATGGCTAAGTTAGGTACCAGTGCCCAAACCTTTTGTCTGAGGAGACTCATACCAAGCAGTCGAAGTATATGGCCTGATTTTAGCGTTTGGTTGTATGCTCTTAAATGCCTAATCGATTCCACATGTCAGTAACTCAGCATAGATAGGTACCACGTACCACCAATGATATTATATTTGTAAACAAGTTCGTTGGGTATAACAATCTTTCTAATTTGTATGTATGTACATCTTGCAGAAAATGCGTTTAAAGAAACGTTACACAAATTTGAAGTGCTACCAATTAATATTGTTCCCTTTACATTTCGGAAAACAAGGTATTGTATCGGGCTGTTCGAATTTTAATTTTATATATTAGAAAAAGTCAAGTACTTACTATCAGGATAGATTTAACATAACATAACATTTATAATGGTAAGTGATAATTCAACCATTACAAATTTTTGCGGTTTATTAAACGACGGATACAAAGTTTCGAAAACAGTGACAAATACGTCGAATTGTAGCAAATTGTTAATAGAAATTTTAACGTGTGTTAGTAATAGATTTCAAATTACTTGTGATTATAGAATTTCGTCATATTTCATGTTAATTTTAATTCATTAATAAATAATCAAACAAATATTTTTAATTCAGTAAAGATTATTAATTAAGAAGTTATCGTGACACAGAATTCTGAAAAGATTAACTATTTTTTCTCAACTATTTCTCAGCTTTCATTCCGTGTGAACATTCTTGTATGCGTTACTACGGTAATGAAAAATATCATAACATGACGTCACCTGTCACTGACTCATGTTTTTACTTAAAAGGAAAATACGTTTACGAAAATATTGAATTATGAGGACGGGGAGATATTTGATAAATTTCTTCATATTGTATCAAACATTGCATCTTTCAATTAGAAAGAATGTAATGTAGTATTGCATCTGTTCATTTGTAGATAGTACCGGTTTTGGTAGTAGTTAAAATATTGATGACAAAAAATTATTTCATCGTTTGAGATTGAAAAACAAAAAATATAAATCAGAGTTTACGCCCCCGCCCCTCTGTTTGCTTATTAAAACTAAATATTTTCTGTTTCATCGATTGACATATTTTGTCGGGTGCAAATATTACGAAATTGCAACATAGCATTCCAAATGTCATTCGCAACGACGTCATTCGCGTACATTGTCACTATTTGTCACGGAAATGGAATTTTCGTAGATTTTCCTAATTTTTACTGGATTTTAAGTGTTTTTGAAATGAAATGGAGGAATTGAATGTAAAAGGTGAGTTCAGCGTACATTATTGCTTTGTAATCTTGTATATAAACCAATTATTTAGTCATGTTTTGTGTCGTATTTGTCATTGAACTAAATGTGTGGGCGATGCTTGTTTCGCGATGGTGTGTTAGTCTTTTGTTTAGCTTAGCCTCGCCTAAACGACGCTACGAACTAAACTTGTTCTAGACCACCCTTATCATAAGTCATGATGAAATATTCAGTCACTGATCGTACATTGGTAATTGTATAGTCGATCAAGGTTTTCGGTTCAAAATGTTAAGACTTCCGCGTTGCTTAGTGCGATTCTATTATGAAGGATTTGCCTCGTATTTACTACACATTATTTACCTGCCATAGCCATACTGCATGTGAAAATGGAAATGCATACTTTGGTTCTCTAATGTATTTTAAATTTATTATTAACAAGAAATATTTATTAACAATGATAAAGCTCCAAAGGCGTTATGAGTAATACATGAAGAACTTTAAAAAAACAGACTTTAAAACAGATTTTTTTTTATAAAAATTGATACAGTTAGTAAAATCATTAATATATACTATTAAATTGGTGAAAGTGAAACACTGATGAAGACAGATTGTTATTTAATTCTGCCCAATGTATGATCGGATGTTTGTGTTTATTTCTTAATAATTAAAAGTGTTATGACTAAGGCATGGTTACCTGTAGACTGCACCAAGCCTTAGGAGTGTTTCGTGGAATTTAAAAATGGAAAACAACTTGATTTCTAAGCATTTGTATGGTTATGTGGAAAGGTGTCTGTGTGTGAGTACTTAAGTGATTGTGTGTTTTATGAATTTTTTATTATTTAATTATTTTGACTGGAGTAGAGAGACACCATTTTAAGGAAGTTTTACACTTTTGTAAATCATAAATAATGTCAATATACAATCCTAATCAAAAAATAATGTGCCACACTGCCACAACAGTTACCTGGACCCAATATGTGGATTTATTATTTGGTTTATGTGACTGTTTTAACTGCACTAGTATAGTGTAGGAATGCTAAAGGAAAGCATGAGTGTCAATAAAAATTATGAACACTTTGCATGCCATAATGCGGGTCACATTGGTTCCAAATCTGTCCAGTACCACAAAAATATATTAAATTTTTGTTTTTAATAATGTCCCAAAATAATATACCAATTACCTGCTCTCAAATTCAATTCCCTGTACTAGAGCAATGGCATTCACTCCCTGGATTCAATCCATAGAAGTTCATGTCCTAAATTGGTTCTAAGGAGAATTTAATCCAGGGTCCCCTCATTTGCTATTGATCACCTACACTACAGTGCTAAGTGTCATCATATTATGTTAATACTTCTATTTGGTGTCAAGTTAGTGCAATTGTATTTTCATATTGTTGTCATACTTTTCTAGTATATATGCGCCTACTTTTCGCTCATATCCTCTAACTATATGAAAACTGTTATCTTTATTTAGTTAACTTGCTTTATTAACAATATACTTGCATATGTTGATGGTAGAAAATTAATGTATGTTTTAGAGAGCCCAAGTTGTGCAGGATGTATGAATGACATTGGAGATGGAGACTATGTGTCAGCTCTGGGCCAGGATTGGCATAAAGACTGCTTTAGGTAAGTGCTAATCATATTAGTTCTTTACTACATTGCTCATTTAGGCACTGTCAGGTGAAACTCTTTGACTTTTTTGCTCATTTTTTTCATGTAGCAACTTCTAGACTTTTATTCTTGCCTGAGAAATCTGCCTTGTGAAATTGAAATACTGTTAAAAAAACAAACTTTTAAGTATTTTTGTTTACCTGTGAATGAATTAATTTTTTTCATTTGTAATTTCAAAAGAGAAGGTTATCTGGTTTATAAGAGTTATATGCCTTTTATTTATTGATAATAAGACTCTTGTGGACTTTCAAGTCAACCCAAACGTCCAGCGAAATAAATTAAGTTTAATATAATAATGATATCTTAAATATAACAAAATAAAATGATTCACAAATTGGAAATATATAATACAAGATTACCTAGTTTTATAATAATGTAAGTTACATAGTGTGCTATTGCAGCTATGAGTTGAGATAACTTGTCCGCGTACACATCAGCAATCTGGTTGTGCACTAGGAACTCATTCAGCATAATAATTGCCCTGGTGGTTGGCGCATTGTAACCCTGTAGAGTGCGCACTAAGAATGAGTGCTAGGCGATAACAAGACCATAAATGCGACATTATATTTATTTGCTATAGTTTCCAGTAATTAATATTGTTGACTTTTTAGAATATAGCTAGGCATCTTAGCAAACTGTAAAAAGATGTGCCAAAATACCACAACAAAAATGACATGCTGCGCACGGGTCTCCTCTCAGGCGAGGATTTAGGGCCATAGTTCGCCACGCTGGCCCAATGCGGCATGCGGGCTGGCAACTGTACCATTTTCCAAGGGTTGTGAACCTTCTTCGACATGTAGGTACCATCATGATATTTTTCTTCACTGCTAAGCTCATGGTAATTGTCAAATAAAATTTCGCACATAAATTCCGAGAAACTCAGTAGTGCGAGCCCGGACTCGTACCCACCACCTCTGCTTGAGAGGTGATAGGTGAAACCATTAGGCTACTACAGCGTTTAAAATACACGATACGAAATAAACAAGATAAAATCGATTTAATAGGTATTAATATAAATAATACACATCTACATCACAAAGATTCGGCCAGTTTGCACCGTCCGTGATTACAGGCCTATATATAAATAATATTAAATATATTTTTTGGCGTTTATCTCTGTTTATTAAGAGGGAGCAGAGGAAAAATTCCTAATCTTCGATATGATTTTAGAGGGGTATATCCACTTTAAAGTTAAAAATAAAATATTGCACAAATAACTACACCGATATATTCAAGCATAGACATTAATCAGAAACATAAAACAATAAAGTTTCCTCGATAGATAAAAATCACGAAATGACCTCTAATTTTCACATTTTTCGATTTATAGAATAGAATAGAATATAATAGAATAGAATACGTTTATTTGCCAGACCAGTAATTACAAAGAAGTAAAATTAGGTACATTGTATTCAACCTGCAAGCAGATGTGCAAATATTAATGGGATTCAATGTTTCTTTAGTCTATAGTTTCTAATTAATGTAATGAATTTGTAAATTCTAAGTATTCTTTATTACTACAGAAGCAATGTGTCAAAAGCCATTTTGTCAATTTTAATTTAAAAGTATGTCCTTGTAACAATTTAATTTCGTTTGGTAATTTATTGTAAATAATTATACACATGTTGAAGCAGTTATTCTTATAAATTACTTTATGGCAACGAGGTTGGTATAAGAGATTCATAATTTTTGCTCTAGTTTGCCTTTGAATGACTTCACCGCGTGTTTTAAAATATTGAGGATGAGAGTTGACAAATACGCAGATATCCCTAATGTACATGCATGGCAAAGGTAATATGTTCAGCCTTTTAAACAGCGGCTTGCAACTGTCATCGAACGAGGCACCGCAAATTGCTCGAATACACTTCTTCTGGACTTTAAACGCTCTTTCTAAGAATACTGAGTTACCCCATAGTACAAGACCGTAGCTGAGCACTGACGAAACGTAGCCGTGATAGGCCGTCAACGCAGCTTCTCGCGAGACAGTTTGCCTTAGTCTTCGTAAAGCGTAAACAAATCTGTTTAGGTTCATGCACATCTGTTCGATGTGTTCCTTCCTTCTTATCCTCGAAATGCTACAGGTTAATTAGGACAAAAATTAAATAATTAATTATATTTATGCATGATCGACAACTGTCACTACGGATTTTTTTTAATCCCTTCAGTTTTAGAGTTATTCCGCTAAAACATATTTGGTACTTTTAATGCGCAAAATTCAACATCTCCTGTCGCATCTCACGCGAACTTCAGGCATATGTTTGTTTCACAAATTTGGGCGGAGCCAACGCCAAAACTTTTTTAGCATGAGAACTCTTAATACACACAAATGTTACTACATAACGGAATTTATGTTTTACAGCTAAATCACTTAACAGTACAATATTATACTTTATAATTTGTTATATAAAATATCTGCACTAATAACTCTTGTAATGCATTAGCATAGACCTGCTATTAAAAGTGTTGCAAGCTATTTATATAGCTGTGATTCATTTCTTGGAACATCAACACAGCTTTATTAATAATAGGTACAAATGCTAATATATCATGTTATCATGTTACCTTTTAAAAATTGTATAGTAATTTTAAGTTACAAATGTTACAATCAATAACTTACTAAATAGTATAAATTCCTCACTTGTTTTTTAATAAACCCAACTTAATTGTGAAACATTTTTCCTTCCAAGGGTCGAACTGTTTAAAGCGTGAAACATACTGACAGAGGTTGCGGGTCGGGCGCGTGTCGGGTCGGGTGCACGGCGGGTGTAATTTCGTGTATTTATATGGACGACAACACGGGCGCGCCCTGACGGCTCCGCCGTGCTCCCGACCCGACAGGCGCTCGACCTGCACCCCTGTTAGTGTCCGTCACGCTTTAATTTTTTTTAATAAATCATATAACATTATTACAATATGCTAATAAGTAAATGTAGAGATACCAGTGCCACTTGGCTTATAACTCATACGAGTAGTGGAACAAAGAAACTTTTAATTACATTAAGGCTTAACACGCTTATTCCGGTTTAGTCATAAGCACACACAATCCAACACACGTCTACACGAACACACAACTGGGAAACTTTGAAATGACTAAATTTTTTATTTACTGTGTCTATCTAAAATTCTTGAAATGTACAAGATACGACTTTGTTACAGTAAGTTACAGGTTCATAGTTCTTCCTGAAAAATTATTCAAGGCAGCGAATTAAAGACGTATTAGTTTATCACAACTGTTTTAAAAGATTTACGTTAAATTTTGAAAATTAATTAAAACCAACAATTCGTTTTAAAACAGGACGTAAATATTTTAAAACAGTCGTTAAAACCTAAAACATGCTCCCCAGAAAAATGTTTCGAAATGGCGCTTTCGCTCTTTCACCGATGAATTATAGACTGTTTTATAAGTACAGTTACTATTATTATTATCCAGAATTTAAAACTTCTAATGACTTGGAAAAATAACCTGAATAGTTTTCTAATGCAATCAAATTAGGTCAACTTTTTAAACAATTTTTTAATGGAAAGCAAGCCCGTGCGTCATGGCGTCACTCACTGCTAATAGGAAGCTGCTAAAATGTACAACAAAGAAACATAACAAAGGATAATATGCGTTACGAGCTGATTTCTATTGGATGAATCAATGATTGAAATGACTGGATCTAATGTTCGCGGTCTGTCAATGGACTAGTTAAATCTGTATATTGGACACTGCACCGGATTGAAATGGACAAATCCATTTTCTACTCAGCAATGGGACCCACGAAATGGGTACACGAAAGGGGCCTCCCCACACGATGTTTCATTTCTTTTCTTTTTACATTTCTTTTTCTGTACGTCTGGCGCACCCTGGGCAATAATCGGTGGGTACCTTATGCCGATTGGCACATCCTTTCCTCACGATAGCACGCATAGAGCCGGGCCATGCGAAGCGTTGTTGCGCCGCCACGTTGTTACGACGTCGCAGCGGCGGGCAACGACGGAAGAGTGTTGGACGATCTGTTAATCAGTACAGAGTACTCAAAAAACCGACCTCAAAAGTCATTCATCCCCTAGTTTGCCACCCTTAGAGGTGGTATTTTTTCTTCAAATTTAAATGGGACCACTTCCGGGGTACCCTCTTTCCAACAAAAAAATGATCGAAATTGGTTCACAAGAGTTATCGCGTAACATACATACAAAAAAAAACATAGAGTCGAAATGAGAACCCCTCCTTTTTTGAAGTCGGTTAAAAATGGATCGGAAAAAAAACAAAATACGTAAAAATAAACTGAAACAATCAAGCGTATGATCATCGTTTGACCGCAAAATCAACTGAGAGACGGAGCACACACTCCCCGTTTCGCTGTTTGCAAGTCCCCTTGTGACATACCATGGATATTTGTACGTAAGACGCCGTAGCAATACCGCTCAGGCGCCGCACCGCTGCCGCAGCGCATCGTGTGGCCCGGCTCTGATAGTGTATGCCATCGATACAATGAGAAGAAGAAGAATGGGACCCAGTGGATGTAAATTATATATACTGCCTTTTTTTTGAAGAGGTACCATAAAATAAATGTTATGTGTTGTGACGTCAGGTGTTCGGTGTGCGACGCAGCACTATCATCGTGGTACTTCGAAAAGGCGGGGCTACTCTTCTGCCAGCAGGACTACTGGACACGATACGGGGACACCTGCCAGCAATGTACACAGGTATATTATTGATATAAATAAATATTAGAAAACATATATTATGTTCCTCTAATCTCAAGTGACAAGAATGAAAGAAGTTGTATGAAAAGGGTAGTTGATGTATGTGAGGTTCGAGAGTTGTGTCAGGATAAAGTGACGTTCCGTGGTCTCCTCTCGTGGTGCCTACCCCTCCTGTGGAACTAAGGCGTGAGCTTATGTACGTATGATCACAAAGTAAGTAATTGAAGCTTGTGCTATGGAAATCGGAAACAATGAGTTCGTCCAGGGAAATACTGCCACCAAGTACTAAGCATTACTGCATTCTGGTTTGGAAGGGTAAGGGTGCTGGTGAAATTACAGGCACTTGGGACTTGTCAACTTATGTTGTAGTCGGCGCAGTGGCAGTGCCCCTCAGATCTTTGCGATTTAAAGCTCTGAGTGGCACTGCAACTGTTAATCTGCTAACAGATTGACTGCATGTATGCAGTTAATGCGTGCAGTCGTAATTAACTTCACACATTAACTGCATGCAGTCGATTTCGAAGCCTTACGAATGATTAGTAGTGTTTAACCAATTGACGATTTCATATGTAATTGCTTCTTTGTGAAACAATGATATTTTGAAATGAAACTATTTTCCGGATTTAAATCGCGTATATTTGTTTTTTCGAACAAACCTATGTGTAACAATCCAGAAAACCTAAGAGCTCGAAATGATATTTTGAGTTCTTCGGTTTGTTTTGTTAGGGAACCAACGTTTCGGGTCCTTTGCAGGTCCCATGGTCACGGTTCACCTGTAGAGGATCCGAAACGTTGGTTTGTTTGAAAAAACAAATATACCTACGCTATTTAAATCGGAAAAATAGTTTTGATTTCCAATGATATTTTGACTTGATTGTTATATCGTCGTTGCAAATTTAAAACCTCTTATGTCATTTTCGTTTACAAGAAGATTGTAAATATTTGAAAAGCATATTCGAAGAAATTCAAAAAAATCTCTCATGTTAATGTTCTTATTTTAATGACAATCAACAAAAATACTCTCTACGAAAATTTTACAGGAGAAAGCTTTTTCGTTTTTCTATGATAGTTATTTTTAACACATAGGAGATATTAAATTAGCAACGACATTATAGTTGCACCAAACAAAAACAAAGGAAATACGATGGTGAGCTACTGGTTTAATCTCGGGAAGTGCAAATGTTGGTGCTCTTGTTTTAGGTAATAACGGGCCCCGTGATGGCGGCAGGCGAGCACAGGTTCCACCCCGAATGCTTCCTGTGTCGCGCTTGCGGCAGCCACATCGAGGACGGGCAGCCCTATGCGCTCGTCGAGCGATCCAATCTTTACTGGTACGATCTTCTCGCTATTCAAAACTTACGTAATAGATGGGGAGGTAAAATATTTATTCAACACAAATACAGACAATGAAATATCCCTGACTAAGTATAAAACTGTAGATGCTATGCCACCACAGTGGAACTTACGGAAGAATGGCATAAGTGGAGTTACGTCAAAAATGTTTATTGCTTCATTTGATACAGAAAAAAATAACCGATATAAACCGAAACCAAGGTTTGGGAATACAAATGATGGAAATGCCGCCCGTAGATTTTTGTGAACCTAGCGCAGACATTACATATGTAGATGTGACTCTTATAAAAAATGTGGCCACTATACTCAGAACTTTAGCTTCCGGTTACGATATTAACATCGAGAAATTTAAATCTTTACCACAAGCCATTAGACATTTGTATATAAATCGTTATCCATGGTATTACATCTGTACTGCACAAAATTCTTGTACACAGTACAGATGTTATTCAGTCAGCTCTGCTACCAATTGGGCAGCTTTCTGAGGAAGCTCAGGAAGCTCGCAATAAAGATTACAGAAGATCCCGAGAGCATAATACTCGTCACGTATTGCCGCGAATAAAGATTTAATTAATATGTTGTTGATCACATCTGACCCTGTAATAAACAGCCTCAGAGAGGTTCCCAAAAAAAAACACAGGTAGCCTCCCTTCTGAAGTATTAGATTTAATAATACCCCATCTGTAAATAGAAGTCAAAGTACTAACAGTCCTAATGTTAGCATGCATGACTACGAGTAGACTGAAATTGATTCTTCGGAAGAAGAAATTAGCGATATCGAAAAGTAGAGATTAGTTAATAGTATTCGTTAATTATGGAGTATTAGAGAAGCGTGAAGTATTACACCTCTTTTCTCACTACAGTTACAGTTTGTTTTTTTTTACAATATATTTATTATTTAAATGAGAAAAGAATTTTCTTATCTAACCATAATACGGTGGTACTCACTCTACCCCCTTCCCTCAAACTGGGTCCCCTGACGCTAAAATTTAATTAGATAGTCATAATAGGCAATAAGAACACCCCACAAAGCAAAAAATAGCAATAAATATTTTTGTCCAGCTAGCATGTTCTGTGCGAAACATAGTGCGCTGACCTCCCTGAGAAGAACGAGCAAGAAACTCTATGGATTGCTCTTTTCAAATAAACTTAAATGCTATGGAATACACTTTGAATCATATTTGTGTGGAATCTAGACTCGTGTTGTCTTTCCATACATCTGTATCTAACACGTAGTCTACAATTTTGTATTAAAACTTTTTAATTATATTTTAATTTAAATTTTAAACTTAGGAAATGGTAATCTTAATATATGCTCCAGAAGCTCATTGTAAAAACTTATACAGTTCCCCATAAAAGAATCGTTTACCTTAATTAAACGAAATCGTAGTACCATGAGTTTGGACTTAGTTCTTGAGAAAGTGTAAGTGACACGTGTTTCGGCAGCGGCGGGTGCTACAGCAGCGCCGTGCGCGGGTCGTCGCCGCGGCCGCACGCCATCCGCGTGGTGGACGTGCCCGCGGGCGCGCTCACCGTCTCGCCGGCGCACTCCGGCGCGCTCAACGTCTCGCAGTGCGTACCCGCTTACCGCTTCAGTCATAATCTTCCCCTCACCCGAAGCGAAGGGCTTCTAAAATCGGGAACATTAACCTTCGCGTTGGCTTCTCACGTTCACCGCAACTTGTCGGGCTAACAATGTGGTTCGGCAGCGCGTGGGCGGGCTGGTGCCGCGGCCGCTGCGCCGGCAAGCTCGGCGCGCTGGGGCGGGCGCTGCTGCGCGCCGCCGTCGCCGTCTGCATCCAACTCACGGGCCATAGGTACCGCGGAACATCCCTAACCCTCCTCCCCGCCATCCGCCGAAGCGAAGAGCTGCAATTTGGACATGTCCTCTCTTCTCTTTGGTGAATGACGGACCTAACTCATGCACGCATTTTTCGCCTCATATCGCACGTTTTATTATTGATACAAAGATCGAACAACATACGATAGATGGATAAAGCATTTATTCAGCACACTACATCACAGTATATGTCGCCACGCCTAAGATTCTATCATAATGTACATTACGTAATATACGGATTTGTTTTCTATCACAACAGCCTGTAATAGAGTATCTTTCTTCGCGTATACCTTTTCCAACTTCAGTCTACTTCATAGCACTGCTATCTTTCGAAACGTCGGTTTGTTTGAAAAAACAAATATACGCGATTTGAATCCGGAAAAATAGTTTCATTTCCTATGTGTAACAATCGCGAAAACCTAAGAACTCGGTACTGCTATCTTTGTTCTAATAAGTCCTTAACCTCATATCGATCCTCCCTTATACCTTTAGTACAAGTGGCGGGTCTCATTCTAATTCTGTTACTACTCGTCAAACTCTATCTTCAGGCTGCCTAGAGAACAAATACTGTAATGCCGTCCGACCAATGCACAACAACCAGCAGACGCCTGATATCTCACCTTCAAAATTTATGACGCTTGGACTAAACAGACTAAATTTATTAATGCTTATATCAAAAAACTAATGCTAAATCGCGACGTAATTCGCGATAACATGTAACAAAAAAAGGAAGGTTACAAATAATGCACTGGAAAGATTTCGGCTCAGCACAATGCCAGGGCTCCGTCACTCGCTCAAGGTTACGCGATAAGTGCCTACCGCTGAGTATTCCGACGTGGGCACAAGCGCTCGTACAAGCCCTTCATTAATGACCATTCGGCTCTGCACGATTGCATACAGCGGGCAACCTTATTTTCACCTCTCTGAGCGCGTGCTTAGGTTATTTTTTTCTTTATTTTTCAGATTTAGAAGGCTGTTATAGCGTAGGTATTTTCTATTTTGTATGAGAGTGATGTGTCTGTTATGTATTAACTATTAAGTAATCTGTGACAATGCTGCTAACTTAATAAGTTTGAAGCTCTGATTTTCTGCTGACACCACAATGGTTGCGCAAGCAAGCTGCGCGTGTCAACGACCAGTCGGCGGCACTTCGAGTGCAACAGTTGTAGTGCAAATCAGCTATTATTACATAAAGCAAAATACTTTAAATCTGACTGGGCTCCAACCAGCGTCTGTTGCCACACCGGGGCTACTGCTCTTAGCAACTAAGCTAAAGAACGAGTCAGATCTTATGAGTTTTTCTAGGTGCTTGTTTGCATATCTTTGTATGAAACGGCTTTTTTTGCCGTCAATTCATGACCTTTGTGTTGTTCTATCAATGTATCAATAACAATAATAACAATATTAATGGAGTATTTCCACAAAATATTTACGAATATCATTGTGGTAAAAACAATATGATTGTCAGTAAAGTATAATAAGGCTAGTTTTCATTTCTACGAGGGTCATCCAAAAAGTAAGTTCCGTTATGTCTCATACCGGGAGGTGTTAATTGTTTCTCCTAGATATGTGTGATAAACCTACCCGTGACGATATTTATTTCAGTTGATAAAGCTAAGTTGCTTATTTGGTAATGAACTATTGTTATACATTTTGGGGAACAGGACAACGACATGAAATTGCGTATATAGCTATCTTTATCGTTTAATCATCGCCGCGAAAACGATGAAACAAAAAATGATTTTGTGATTTCTGTTCACATATTTTACAGTATATTAGTTATTATTTACGTATTTCTAATTACTCTCATGTATTGAACTGTATTAAAAATGTTCTCCTCGCCTTTTTCCAATAATTTATATATATCAATTTATTTGTTTTTATTATTTCTTTTCATCTCGTTTATCGCGTTCAATTTTTACGTTGATAAAATTAGTGCGCAGAACTGTCAAAAATGTTATAAACTCAGCTGTGACCTTGCAGCCATGATTGGCACTGTGTTAATCTTTTGCAGTCATTGGTTTTATCACGGAACTCGCCATTTTGTGATAAAATTTTTGAATACAGTTTATCACTCGAATTTGAGAGCTAAATGTGGATATAATACCTTTATCGAGGCGGCATAGTACGGGGGCAGATATGGAAAAAAACGCTGGCTACCTACAGACCAAAACGGAACTTATTTTCTAGATGACTCTCGTATTTAACATTTCTCTCTATCGTGAATTTTAGTTCAACTTCCCTTTAATATAGTATTTTATTCTTGGGTTAAAGCAACGTTACCGTTAACAATAACAATTGTAGAGCGAATCCACACTTTGCATGAAATATATTTTTATTGTGCTATTTTGAGCTTTGTGCCGCTTAACAGTAGGTACAGTTAATATATATTAGAACGTGAGAAATTAATGTTTAGTCGCAAATACTGACTTAGTCTGTATGATAGTGAAATTACTCATCGCATTTCCGACCAATTGGGTATGGAAACAAATGCGGTTTTCCTCAACCCAGCAGCTGTAAAGTAAACGTGGTTAACTTTTCGAGTTCTTAGGTTTTCGCGATTGTTACATAATTATACGAAATGAAACTATATAAGTCGCGTATATTTATTTTTTCAATAAAACCAACTTTTCGGGCCCTTTACAGGTCCCATGGTCACGTGTGATTGGATGGTAAAGTCATCAGCCAGTTATGTCTAATCTTAGAATAATAACGCATAGAAACCAAGCCAGCACACGCTAAGTGAGGCAAATTGAAGCGCGCCAAAAGGGCCTACACGAGCGGGCGGGCCTTCAGTGCTCAAGGTCAACTTGCACCGCGAACAGATCAAGAATTTTAGCTAAAAATGACGAAATGTGCGGTAAATGAGTGTAAAAATACGTCAGACAAACATAAAATAGACACTAGCATCACATTCCACAGGGAAATAACGCGTTTCAACTTGTATTTTTATATAAATATTCACTAAAACCGAAAATTAACCTACTACTAAAACCAGCCTATATGAATTCGATTTTTGCCTCACTTGTGACAGTTCGTTTGATATGAAACTATCATTCTATCCGTTATTATTCTAAGTGTCTAATATTAAAGCAAACCACTCTATTTTTTCACTAGGGTGGTTTAGTGGTGGTTAACCCTATTTTTCACTATTGTTACAGAGTTATTAATGAAATACTTTCTTTTTTAAATTTCCCCTGCATAATTGTTTTACAAATTGATTTTACTTCAACAATATACATTTTTATTCATTTTAAGTTTTATTATTAATTAATAATGGTAATTAGATTCAATTAAAACATTTTAATTAGTTCCGCAGTCTTATATCTGCTTGGGATTGTTCATCAGAGGACATACTCGATCCCAAACTAGTAGTGCGGAGAAACCATCTCCCCTGTTTAAATTAGGATGTTTTTTTAAGTTCAATGGCGTCTCGCAGGATCCTGGGTCGATAACGTACTTCTTTTGCAAGGACCAGAGGTTACTCGAACTTAATTGTGTGCCTAGGTTTGTCCATGATATGACAAACACAAATATACACGATTTAGATTGAAGAAAATAGTTTCATTTCTTATGTGGTAACTTTTTTAAATTATGCATTTCGTATACAAATGCAATGTCTATTGTCACCCTAGAAGCTTTCAAAAGGGGTGACAATAAACTATGTAGGTCACTAATTATATTGCAGGATTTTAGTTAGATGTGGAGTTAGTACCGGAATAGAGAAAGCGCATCATGATATGTTGTCCAGGATCGAAGGGGGCTGCAGTCTCCTCGCGCTGCACATCGGCGACCGCATCTTGGAGATCAACGGTGCGCCGGTGCGCGGGCGCCCGTTGCACGACGTGCAGCGCACGCTTAACACGGAACAACTTATACAGGTATTATCTACGACGGTTCTCGTATATCGTCTTCATTTTTCAACGGTTAAAAAAATTCTCTATAGTATCTTGTGACGTAGAATGTGTGTTTATTTATTTCAGCTAACAATAGAACACAACCCGGAAACATCAAACGTTCAGCAGAAACGCGCGGCTAATACGACGGAAGCCGAAGAAAGAAGCAAGCACGAAACGAAGTCACCCGTCGAAAGAAAAATACACAAAGAAACAAAACAAAACATTCCCAAAGAGGACATTCCAGAGGACAGCGGAGTGAGGAAAGAGAGACTGTTCAAACGAAAAGGAGAAGAGGGAGGCAAAGTGAGAGTGATTAAGAGGAGACAGACCCCGTCCTCGCCCTTACTAGGAGAAAAGGAGCGGAGTAGCAGCATGTCAAAGTTACTTGACGTGTGAGGAATATACTGTCAATTACACTTAAAATTTAAAAATCCCTGGGCACAAAACTGTTCTCCAAAAAGTCAATAAAGTCATTATTTCCACACCAGGAACTCGTTGAGACCAAGTCAATGGGCCCAAATACGATAGTTACACCACAGATTATATAAAATACTAGTACAGATAGTACACACACACAGACAGGACAGTAGTCTTATAAGAAATGTCGCACTCGTAACTCCATCCGTTTTGGATCTAAATGCCTCCGTGGCCGAACGGTTATCATGCTAGACTGCCACGTAAGAGGTCTCGGGTTCGATTCCCGAGCCGGGAGAAATATATGTGTAGCCTACATTTATTTATCTCGTGAATTTGGGCGTAATTTGTGGCTGTCTAGGCGTGTGTCCGTGGCACCCGCAAAACAGGGTCTCCCTAGTGTGGGGCTATGAGTGTGTACGTGAAAAAAAGCTTCAGTGCCATGAATGGACTTACAAGTACACAGTTAAAAGTTTCAAACCTATGGCTTCACTCATTCACTCAACGCGTTTGGGTTAAAAAATATCAAACACATTCTTATGGATATTCTAAGTCTGTTAAATAGATTTCCAGTTTACTCCTAGCGGAGGTATTTTTTATAATAATAATGCTTAATTGCTTGGAACATGATATAATATAAGATGTAACAAGAGACAGTATACAAGCATGCATACAAATGTCTAGATATGTATGTACGGTTATTTGTCAAATAGTAACCAACTCACAGGACTATATTACTGACACCACAAATAACTCATACAAAAAAAAATACATCTAAACGGTCATTACCCCTGTCCTGCACAGAATCATCTCTGTGCAGGACAGGGGTGGGAGTCGTCGCGGATGATGCTTGCACGTTTGAACTTATTCTACCAAATACAGATCTAAAAAGTGTAAGATAGTACAACAAATACTTAAAAGTTTATTAATGGTAAATTTATTATGTTTTGTATAAAGTCATGCTACAAAAGTTGTTCCTTATCATGTTAGTAATATGGTCCTGCGTGGTAGTTAGTTTTTTTTAAATGCCCCTGTATAATGTCAAAGTCAGTTAAACAAAATCTCGGAAACAGAAATTAAAATCAAATTTATTTCTTTTTATCGTACCGATGGTATAATACTGTAATGCGGCAAGCATTTTAGTTTTTTTTTTATTTTTTAAATATTAGACAACATTACATACGTTGCTCTGATGCCAAAGTAAGTAGCTAAGGACTTGTGTTATGAAAATCGGAAACAACGACGGTACCACAAACGCCCAGACCCAAAACAGTATAGAAAAGTTAGTTTTCTACACTGACCTGGCCGGGGATCGAACCCGGGACCTTAAAGATAGCGACACCATGAAAACCGGTGTGCAAGCCACTCGACCACGGAGGCCGTCCACTTGCCAATCCACGAAAAATATTCGCCTATTGTTACCCATAATGCGTCAGTCGTATGGGGAGACTTGTTCCGTGCATCCCATTCATTTATTTCGCACAAAGCCAACCCCAGAAATAGTCCGGTGAGAATTTTCGACGGCAATTGCCTTTGGAACAAGGGTGTCTACAGTACGAGCATACATCCGAAACAATTACTGTCAAACAAATAGTACTCGAACCAAATCTCGAAGCTTCATTCGCGTCATGCATTTTTTAATTTTGTCGAGTATTTCTTATTTGACAGTAATTGTTTCGGCGGATGTCGGGCGGCGAACGAGAATTCAGGGCGAGGAACCGCTGTAGAATGGTCGCTTTGTTGCAGCGTGGACGGCGAGGAGCCCAGTGGCGTTCTCTGCGACTTGAGCCGTGCGCGTTCCTTCCGCGCGCAGCCGGCCCCGGGACAGAAAGTATTCCGCGCCTGTGACCTGCTGCAGGTATGTTCTTGTACAGCATCATCAACCCACTTTTAAAACTTATACTTTAAACAACCAATTTTTAACTTAAACTCCACTTAAAACCAAATTGCATTTAAAACAGGACGTAAATATTTTAAAACGGATGTGAAAGCCTTTGACATTCTGCCTGAATTTTTTTTCGACATAACTCTTACGTCTTTTCTATAAAACACCGACGATGATAGTTTTGTACTAACTACGTATGGTTAATGTGGTGCGAAGTATGCGAGGGTTGATTGTTTGTGGCAGGGCGAGCTGCTGGGCAGCGGTTTCTTCGGGCAGGTGTACAAGGTGACGCACCGCGCCACAGACGAGGTCATGGTTCTCAAGCAGCTGTACCGCGTCGACGAGGACGCGCAGAGGAACTTCCTCAAGGAGGTACACCCCTCATTTCATGCAAACAACTTTTTACTTGTTAGATTCAACTTCGTTTTTCTAAATTGGACCTATACTTACACTTTCCACTCTTTCACAAGGAGCTGTACTGCTACTAATTACAGGATCTCCCGTTGGGGCAGGCAGAAACCATGAGGTCATTAGGAGACCGGCGTGATGGCGTGTCTATGTTACCATAGTTATTTCAAAATTAATAAAAACATTGTTATCCTCCAATGCTCATTTCAAATTTTACTGTCAGGTGGCGGTGCTAAGGTCGTTGAACCACCCGAACGTGTTACGCTTCATCGGCGTGCTGTACAAAGACAAGAGATTGCATCTTGTCACCGAGTACGTCGCAGGAGGAACATTGCATCAACTTATACAGGTATTGTTTTGCACACAAAAAAAAGTAGATGGTCCAGTGGGAGAATGTCCGCTTCTAAATCGAGATCTGGACGACGGTTCGAATTCCTATCAAAGACCTTTTGGTTCTTAGCACCTAAATGTGGAGAAAAGTGTTAAACGATTCTAATTTTAACCTGTAAAGTTCATTTTGGTATGACTTCTGATTGTGTCATTAGTTGATGACGTTTTAAGAAACTTTTTAAACCAATATGGTATTTAACATATATACTTAGTATATAAACTGCAATAGAAGACCACCGTGATCTTGCAGTTTAAGAATTGTTTTGTAAGTTAAAGCAGACGATGAGTCGAATTCGAGTACAGAAAAACTAATTTAGCTATGGCTAAATAATATTTTATTTTTACCTCTGGATAGATGGAGTGTCTTAGAATGTTGAGTCCTCGTAGTGAGTAATGCACAGACATTAAGTGAGTGAAATAAAAGTTTACTTTGTGGGTTATTCGATATGCTTTGTGGTTAATAATTATCATTTGCAAACAATTTAAAACTACCTATGGCCTGTATCGGCAACTACAGTATTGTTTAAAGTTGTGGCGAATACATATACTATATTACGTAGATTTATGAATATTCGTTAGCTTCTGGCTAACGGTGAAGTCAAGCATCGTGATGCCGAAGAAGGTTCACAACCGTTGGAAAACTTTGTGGTCGCCAACCCGCATTAGGTCAGCGATGATGATGTTTGGATAGTGGCAAAGGCATCCCCTTACGTATCCACGTTTCGTCGACTCATACCGGTCAGTTCCGCAACCTAAAACAATTCGACAGATCTCACTAGACGAGAGTTTTAGGAATGGCCACAGAACAATAAATTCAGTAGAAGTGGTTAGTTTGCGTTACACGCGGGCCAACTGTAGGCACAGTTTTGCCTACTTGAGCTGAGTCCGCCATTACCGCTTTGTATGGTATGGTGTGTCAATTCTTCATCGAAATAAGGTTCATTGTGCAATGTGTGCGTTAAAGAAGACATCTGTTGTCGAGAAGATACTACTTTCTATTTGTTCGTCGTAGTCCAGCTACTGGCCGCAAGATAGCAGCACCTTAGCAAAGGTATTGCAATTCCAACGATAACGACTGGGTAAAGTTTAAGTTCTATTGACAGTCTAGAACTTGTTTCATCGTTTTAAATTACAAAACTACGATCAACCATTGTCAAGATTTCATAGTGTTTATCATTTATTTGTCTGCATTTTCTTCTTCCGTGGGAGTGGCGGTATTTGGGGTTCCACCATCCACCACCGTCAACTACAATCGTACATTTTCAAAACTGGATTGCGTACATATCTTCTGACACTGTCCTAGTCTGCAACGTGTCTATATTTATTAGTAAGTGTAAGTTTATTTAGGTAATATACATGTAGGTATACTATATCGTTATTGATTATTTGATAAAACACAATGTTAATTATTGTTTGTCTATACAATTCAAATTTTGCTATTGGCACACTACGTATCCCGCTCTGGTTAGTTTTCCTATATCTCAAAGGTTGTCTGGAACAGATCGCTCTTAGCGATAAGGCCGCCTTTGCTCACATTAGTTTTAAGCTGTCTATGTACTGTTTTTGTTCCTACGTATGAGCAATGAAGTGTATATACCGTATATATATCTGTCCATGTACAGTGGAATGCCGTCCGTTCGCAGGACGCGTCGGTGAAGCTGAGCTGGGCGCGGCGCGCGCGACTGGCGCGGGACGTGGCCCGCGGCGTGGGCTACCTGCACCGCATGAACGTCATCCACCGCGACCTCAACTCGCACAACTGCCTCGTCCGAGAGGTGCCGTCGCCCCTTCCCCCCTTCCGCGCAGCGGACGCGAGGCCGAGTCGGGCTCTCATCAGCGCTTCCCTTGCAGGACAAGACCGTGATCGTGGCGGACTTCGGGCTGGCGCGGATCGTGCAGCGGACGGCCAGCAACACGCTCGAAAGGAAACGCAACGCGCACTCGACGTTACGCAGGAAGAGATATACGGTAATTGAGACCAAGTTCATATCAACAAACTCTAGTAGCAGGGACAGTGCAACGAACCACCTACTTTACGTACTATATGTACAGTATAGTATACATACTATACGGAAGGTTACAGAAATATACTTACTCGCTATTAATCAACAGTAGCTACGCGAAAAGTAAATATTATTATACTTCATTTCAATCGATTTGAAACAAAAAGTAAAGAAACAAGTTACTATCCCGATCGTAGACGGTTTAGTGACGGCCAATTTTACTACAATTACAAATCGATTAATTAAATTAATGAATCGGTTTCTTTCATCGAATCATACTAGCCGTTTACCTTACATAATCTATAAAAGCATATTTAAAGTTTCCGACATCTTAATTTTATATATTCCTTCAAATCCTTACACTTAGACACTCGTTCAATTGCGACTGAATTTTTTTTTAAATCGATTACAGTCACTTTAATGGAATGAATGAATTTTTTTTTCGTACAGCACTATGCAACCGTAGACTATTCATACATCTATAATTAAAACAACCTCATTTTTTGAGAACCATTATTCAAATACGATTTTACGATATTATACAAATGAATATTGTTGGAAAAAGTGATTAGATATCACGAAATGTACGTGAAAGCGCTTATTCGATTTATTGAGTGTTTACTTTAGAATTTTAACCAAACTTTTTTCGCATCTATTGGATTGGAAGAGACTACAGCTTTTACAGACGATAAACGATACCTCACGAATTGTGACGGGGTTAATTTTATTAATTCAGCCATGAATACAGAACAAACTGTAACGCTCTCAGGTATCAGCAACTCCATAAAGCCAATGATTTCAATCGGCGATTAGAACATTGATCGATGTAGGTTGCTCTTTGTAGAGCTCGACCTTAGTACTGCAGGTATTTCTAAGTTATTCACGTGCGCGGTTTTTGTCAGGTGGTTGGCAACCCGTACTGGATGGCTCCAGAGATGATGAACGGCAACGTGTACGACGAGAAAGTCGACGTTTTTTCCTACGGCATCATACTTTGCGAGGTCAGTGCTTCTAACTAACCTGAATCGGAAATTAGTGTAAATATTGCGTTTGGTTAAATATTTTTCCGAGTTAAGTTACCGTGAACATTGTATTATAATTACAGATAATCGGTCGTGTATCTGCCGATCCGGACTTCCTTCCGCGACGATCCGATTTCGGCCTGAACGAGACGGTGTTCGTGGAGAAGTTCTGCTGCGCCTCGCTCTGCCCCGAGCCCTTCTACCGCATCGCCTTCCTGGCCTGTCATCTCGACCCCGACAAGAGGTGCGTATATCTTGGTACTTGGTGCAACGGGCTGGTATCCGCAACTCGACGACAAGGCGCCTATTTTGCGTGCGTATGTGTGCCAATGGACGGACCTAGTGCTGTATCCCTTTATACAATTAGCGGTTTTGGTTTTTCCGCTACGTAGAGAAAGAAATCTTAGTAATTATGTATGTGAAGTTCTTGGATTATGGATTTTAATGGTTATTATGACCCATGAACTATTTTTGATATTTTTAATAAAACATAACCTCTATTTCAGACCACCTTTCGAAGTGATAGAAATATGGCTAGAAAGCTTAGTAATGCATTTATCAAGTCCTGGACCGCTGCCACCAAACCTGTTAGCCGACATACTGCAATACACGGAGGGCGCTTCCGAACGCGGTCACGCCACGCCTGAGTGTTGCCAACATCAGAACAATAACATCTTCTGTGCTGCGGACGACAAATGTTGCCTGTGCACAAAATGCGGCAGCTGCGACAAGCTGAAACGGTCGCCGAGTAAAGTTTCCAACGTGGAGTTGACTCTGCCTTTGAATGAAGTCGTCAAGGTGAGAATTGTGATTGTTCACTAAAGATGATTTTTATGGGTGATTTCTTGATTTGCGTGTCCCTGTTTTTCGGAATTTTGTCAGTGGGGGTATAAGAAACACGGGGTGCAGTGCTGCCGAAAATGTAGGTAACACCGGCCAAGGATTCACGTAGCGCGACGCTCATTCCTTTCGTGTATTGAGAGCGATCCAATAAGTAAGGTTGCGGTAGCGATGTGTACGAGCCGTCGAACGCGCCGGTTGATACGTTGGTCCCCCGCGCAGTCGCAGTCCAACGCGGCGCTGCAGCCGGCGCCCGCGCCGTGCGCGCTGGGCAAGTGCGTGTCGGCCAGCCACCTGCCGCGGCCGCCGCGGGCGCTGGGCGGCGCGGGCGCCGTGTCGCGCAGCTCGCACGCGCTCACGCCCGGCTACATCCTGCGCGCCGACGGCGCCGGCATCAACATCACGAAGGTACGACGGCAGGTCGCCGAGGGCCCCCGCCCCGCGCCGCCCCTCACGCGTCTGCTTGCAGGTGGACGACATCTCCGAGTGGCTGGAGCCCCCCGCGCCGCTGAAGCGCTGCAGCCCCGACGCGCAGCTGAACCAGGCGGAGGCGCCCCCGCCGCTGAAGCCGCGCCGCGGCCTCGGCGCGCCCCCGCCGCCCGACCCCCTCCCCGCCTTCCTGCGCAACCAGTCCGTGGAGGGTCTCGAGAGCAAGTACAAGCGCGAAGCGGACGCCCCGCTGCCCTTCTGCCGCCACATCAGCATCCCCGACCACTGCGAGGTGCGCGACTCCGACGACTCGGACTCTTCCGACGACGACCCCGACATGTGCGACTGGTACAGGAACGTCAGCTCCTTCAAGAAGATCGAGAAGATGGACGTGGATCCGGCGAGGAACCTGCTCGCCGGTATTGTCAAGGAAGGCGAAAATTTGTTAGGGAAGAAAGCGAGCTACGACGTCGCCGACGTCACGTTGAGGAACCCGGGGGAGAGGAAAATCCCCGAAGTGGACAGTAGAAGATTTAACATTGACCAATTGACGAAGAGTCCCGTGATGGCTCAGGGCGTTAAGAACATTCCGAAGACGTTGGAAGCGCAAAAGGAGCCCGAAAAGACCGGATTCTTCACTAAGAAACTGTTGTCGCCCAAACTGAGCCGCTTATTTAAACCGAACACGGCAGAAATCGTCAGAAATAAACCGGAAAGTGAGAAGGAAGACAAGCCGGATAAATCTAGAAGTAAGTTCTTCATTCAGCGGCCGGCGTCGCCTAGTAATCTTCGCCGGTCGTCGTATAAAGTCAGGCCTGTAGACGAAACCGACAAAAAAATTCGACAAGATAAAAAACAAGACAATAATTTGCTAAAAAGCGACTTGAAACTTGCGAGTATGGGGAAACCGATGACTCCGATATTCCGGAGGCACGTGCCGAGTGAAAGACCCGATTTCGCAGACGGGAGATTCAGCTACAGAGAAAGAAGGTCGAAATGCGATCTCAAAGTCCCCGAGCCAAAATTCATAGACGTAGGTCGCAACAGAATCAAGGCTCCAGTAAACGTAGATAAGACCAAACTAGCTCCTTTGATACGGAGCTCGCCTATGAATAACATTCCTGCTTTAGCCACCGTCCCTGAGAAAAAACTAGAATCTATTAAAAACAAAGATGTAGTAAAGAAACGCGAACCAGGCATTTCGCGTAATAACTATGTGAGTTTGGCGAATTTGAAGATAAATAGTAAAAAAGACTTAGAGAAGACTGTCGACGACAAGTCGCTAGACGCAATGAACGTTAGCTCACCCCTCGAGCGAATTATTTAGAATAGATTTGACAGTGGTTGACCAAGCTTTGAGAAACACGTCGCCACGCCGATATCACCAGGCTAATTGTAGGATACATTCGACTTGGGTTTGATCTCAAACGAATTTATAGAACGTGTTTCAATGTTGCGAACTCACTCAAAACGTGAAATCTCAAGGTCATCCATAAATGTCACCGCCTTAATATTAAGTATACTCTTGCCACGTTGAAACATGTAGTTGATATACAATTGTTGATTTCTTGTTTGTACTTATCACGTATACTTAATTGTAAGTGGACCTTGCCAACTTTTATACATTGTGTTTGCAAGGAATATGGTTCTATAAAGTTGTTGCTGCTAAAAAGTCAACATTGTAATAATTGCTGCCAATTCTGTAAATTAAATTTAAATGGTGCATACAGTCACATCTGTCTCCCATGATTCCATGGGTATACACAGGGAACACAGTTCTGACATGCCTTTCGCTCTTTTCAATCGTATCTAGCGGACAGTACACTTTCCGTTCTATAAACAATGTAATCGTTGGCAAAGTCCATTGGAAAGCGTTTTAGATTGTCGCTGAGACTTTTTTATATAGTGCTTGCGAGTTGTAGTGTTAAAATCCTAGGAGATTTTAAGGTAATAGCTCGGATTAGAGCACGTAAAATACGCCTAGCCGTTCATTATACTGCCCTTACTTGTCATTTTTAGTCGAGTCACAAAAATTTATTGACATAATATTCTATTCCCCTGTTCCCTTGAAGTATAGAGCACTCAACCTCAACCATGCACATTAATGTAATAACCAAATTTTTTTATTTAAATAAACTTAATTATGACGTTTTTGGTGGTTCAACGGCTTGCGCGGTTTGAGGAGTTCCCGGGTTCGATTCCTCGTAGGACGAATTTGAGGGATTGTTACTGATATTGCCCCAAAGCGAATTCCGTTGCTCCGGTACTCATTGGTTTACCTGTTTCAAGACCAAGGGATTATTATTATTAAATTGATCTTTTATAAAACAAATCTAACTAAAACACGGTTAAATGACAAGTGTTGAAATATCCGTTTTAAATAGCATACGATAGAGCTCTAAATTCTCTAAAACAGTTAAAGTCAGTTAACGTGTTGGACATATTTTCTTAAATTAACCTAATGGTGCATAGCTGTATAAGAAATGCATTCTCGTGACCTTTTTTGGCTACGGGAACCGCTTCGAATAATTTGCTGCTGGCGCTCGTGTCCTCTCACGTGACTTTAGTTAGCGGACGGCAGTGTAATGGTCAAAATTGAATACTAAATTGTAAAATTACACGTAAATGCTCCAGTACGCGTCAATACGTTGACATTACCCTTGTGGGTGATACGTAGTAGACCTTTAGATGTGTTTGAAATTTGTGTGAATTAGACAATTTTTAAACCAGTTGCTTCATTTTGATGAGATAATTGTTAAAAGTTGAAATGTTATGGCTGCTGTACACTCGAGAGTGCGAGAGTGTAGAGGAAAGCACTCGGATGTCTCGGTCTCCCTCGCAATGTCTCGGTATCTCTCGCCGGCTCTCGGCATGTCGTGCAAAAAAAAGAGAGCGTCGCCTTACACTCACACATCAGTGGAGCTTCATTTCACTAAAGTATAATACACTCACAAATCTTTGAATGTATCCTTCGGAGGAAGGGAACCAGGTATCCCAAAAGCTGACACACAGCCAGGTAACTTCCGTGCCCTATTTCAATGCATTCACCATCTCCGTTCATCGCCACATTTAGATTTTTTTCTCTCGCGAGAATTATCGGCGAGAGCACTCTGAGTGTACAGTCGCGATTAGAGTTCACCATATTTTTATGCGTTAGGATGACAGGGAAATATTCTTCGCACACAAGAATCTCTTCAATTACGACGCGTCTCTGAATGGTGAACATTCCCTTTAGTCGTAAGTGCTTGTTGATATTTTGGGTGCTTATTTGATATTCGACGGTGTTGTAGCGTGGCGGTGCCTTCCTGCAAGACTGCGAACGCTTTGTCAATTTATTCGCGTAGCATTTCGACACGGTTATACAAATGTTATTTTCAATTTTAGTATACACTTTTATAATTAGATTTTTAGATAAATTACATAATTATTATAAAAGAAATATTATCGATTTTTATAAAAAATCCTCTCAGGTGATTTCTAGTTTGTATTCCATTGTGAACAGTGCCATTTATAAAGATTTTTATATTAATAAGCCTTATCGGGAAATAACACATCTTTTTGAAACAATTATCAGGATAACAATGTGTTATTTTGGGATAAAACTGTACATTTGTTACCTAAGAATTATATTTCCAAACAAATTTTAAAAAATTACTACTCATAATCGATTTAGAGATAAGATGTAGGATTTAAGTTTGGACAATATTTTAACTGAATTAATTTATTAACATTCGAATTTAATTTTAAATAATTTTTTTAAAGTCTGAATTTTATATTTTGGTTTCACAGAGTGCCATTATGAAAGGTATTTATAAACCTCTCGGTTCGAAAATAATTTTTAGATCTGGCAAAACAAATCTCTACGTATTATTTAATTTGTGCTCATGTTTTTACCTTATCTGTGATACATTTCGTTTGTAATGATGCAATAATAACGAGTATTATAGGTGTCTGATAGTTTAAACGTTCTACTATGTTTGGGGTGAATGTCGCGAAAAGAAATTTAAATGTTCAACATACTCCCTTACTTAAGTTTATTTTTTTCATACATAAAATTATGTAACATTTTACTACGGCTCTCTAAACGATAGAAAAATATTTTTAAAAAGACAATTTTTTATATTATGTTGGCCACATTTACCCTATATATTAGCTATTGTATGTACATTGTATTTTAGAGCTATATTTCCAATAACGTTTAGTTGTGAATGGTGTTAACACACTAACAGCAATAACAACGATCTTTCCGTCGGCGCATTCCACGTATTGTATCCTTTTACTTTGTCTGTAAGTACAAATGAATAAAGGAATATATTCGATATTAATATTGATTTTCATTTGTGCGTTCAAAGATCTTAACCATATGTCGCCATTGTTAGTGTCATCCCACTTCAGTCATAACATTAAGAAAATATTTATTGAGAAGAAAGTTCCAGGTTTTAAGAAAGAAAAACGTTTATTCATTAAATTGAGTCACTATACGCACTTAAATCTAATACTTGACACTAAAACAACAAATGGCTGCGTGATATTAAATTAGTAAGTGTGAATAGTGGCGCAAAAGAAGAAAAGGATACGACTCAGCAGTATATCTATCTGGCGAGACAGACTCTGATTTTCAGTCGTTCCTGTTCCAGTGTCGGCTGAGACCTAAGGAAATGGTACATGCTCTGTGTATCCTCTGCTTTATGCCACACTACACATTTACAATACACGTGTGATACATGTATACATTATTACATAAAAGCTACAAGTAAATAGAAATAAGTTAGAAGACAAGAGTTAGGAACAACCGGCATCGCTGGTTTTCTTCTATCAATAGATTTTTCATACTTTTTCTAAATGCGAATTTTGAGATTGGCTGTCTAAGTGGAGGAGGCAGATTATTCCAGCATTTAGATGCCTGATACCGGAAGCTACCCTCGAAGGCTCTTGTTTTATGGAATGGCGTTACCAATAAAAAACTATTAACTCTGCGTATAATATAGGAATAAGTCCGCCATTTTAACTTGGCATATAGATAAGGCTGACTTTTGTGTCTAACAACATAGTGCATCAAAGTAGGAAAATGGAAAGTCCTTCTAGATTCCATATTAAGAATACCGTGTAGGTTTTTAGCAAAGGTGTTAAGTAACTCCTCGTTGGAATTTTGTAACAGAAACGAATGCAGGCGTTTTGAACACGTTGTATTAATTTTTTTGAGGTAGAGAGAAGACAGACCGAAAACTATATCCACATATATTTTTTTTTATAAAATAAGAGATTCACACATTTTTAATCTAATATCTTCACTGAGTAAATGACGAATTTTATATAATACCTTTAGTTGAAAGAGGCAAGATCTGGCAACAGACTCTACATGGCGCACAATTCGCAACCCACTGTCCACAGAGACACCTAAATTTTTGGCCTGGTTAAAAAATTCGACCGATGATCCAAGAATACTAATCCTAGGATTGTGTGAAAGAATTCTTACAACCTGGTTTTTTTGAACCCAGAACCATAAACTTTGATTTGGAATCAAAAAAATTATGATTTGACCATCGGGCAATCAAGATCGGAGTTGATCCTGGAAAGGGACAGTTTTAAATCCGTATGAATATAGATTTGGACATCATCCACATAAAGATGGCACTTGCAGTATTTCATATTCTTTACGATATCCGCAGAGTACAAAACAAAAAGAATGGGTCCTAATATCGATCCTTGTGGCACGCCTCTATGCACACTCCTTACAGAAGATCTGGCGATACTCTGTAGTTCTACTCCTGATCTTTGACAATTTGAGTCCTATCAGTCAAGTAACTACTGAACCATTTCACTGTGGCTGTGTCAAAACCATAGTATCTAAGTTTGGCAACGTAACGCAGTAACAGGATACTGATAGAGTCGAACGCTCGTGAAACATCGAGTAGAGTCAGTATAGTGGCCATACCCTTATCCTGAGCGTCTAGTATATTATCTACCACTTCTGAAAGAGCAGTTGAAGTGCTGAGACCTTTTCTGAAACCAGACTGCACTTCAGGTAGAATCTTATTTCTTTCCAAAAACGCAGTCAATTGCCAAAATACTATCCTTTTCAGTAATTTGGATAGATAGTGCAGTAAACTAATTGGTCTAAGGTCTTTGTAATTATTACGATTCGAAATTTTGGGTATGGGCGTAATCAGAGCAGTCTTCCAGCCAAGCGGAAATGTCGAGGAAGAAATGGATTTGTTGATAATATTCGTTACAAGAGGTAGAGTGTGCGGCAGTGTTAATAAAACCATACCTGAATTTATATTATCTTCCCCTGACGCTCCCGATTTTATTGAAAGGATGGCTCTATTTCACTTACTGTTCGCAGAGTAAAAATACTGCTGTTGTATTTATTCCGCTTAAAGAGTGTCAATTCGGATAGTGGAACTGTATCAATACGTGGGAAGGTTAAAAAATGTTTGTTTATTTCTTCAGGATCAGAAATTTGAGGTGGCAAGGTCTCATATCGTTTATTACAAGAAAGAACATCGTTCCTTAAGTTTTTCCAGAGCCTCTTGGGGTCGTTGGAGCAGCTATTTATACGTTGGTTAAAATATACCCGTTTTTCAGAGAGCATAGCTATGTTAACTTGTTTTTACTTGTTCAAGCGATTATCGGCCTCGATGGTATGCACTGTGGGTGCTGGAGGTTTGAGAAACTATTTTTTCCAAATTGGTACTGTTCTGGATTTGAGATCAACATTATTGGCTTTTTATCTGGATTGACTTTATGTATTCTTTTTCTTCTGTTAAATTTTATGACCCCATCGAAATAATCGATGATTCCACCGAAGACATGGGAAAAATATTCCCGCTCCCACCGAATTTCGATCGGAGAACAGGGAAAAACCCAAAATTACTATGTACGGTAGTTTTGTAAAAATAATATAAAAATGGCCACTTTATGTGTAAAAACTTTAATTTATTCAAATTCAAAATAATCTTTACTTCATAGGCAAGCATCATTACACTTGTAATCGTCACAATGGTTAAACTCTACCGCTCATTCGTAAGTCAGATTCTCCTGAGAAGAATGAGCAAGAAAGTACACGGTTGCTAAACTATATAGGAGCTGAAGTTGTATAACTAAACTATATAGGAGCTGAAGTTCCCGAGGTTATTCCCGGTCCTCCGATCGGTAGGAAAAGCGGCAATATTTTTTCCCATGCTTCCGATTGAATGGTTCTTTTATCACAAGATTGAAAAATGGTGCCGCCGGAATAAGCTTGTGGACAGTACAACATCCTTGTAACTTTGAAACGGAGGACAGACTAGTTTTTTGCGACAAAATGACTACTTTTTGCCAGACGTAATCAAGGTTCAAAAATTGGACAATGGCCACGCTGAATAAAGAATGTCTTCAATGCATGCAGCAACGTCAAGCTAGTGATCAAGACTTGTCTGAAACATAAAACAATGTTCCAGACAATGAATCTTTCAAAATATATATATGAATATATGAATATATATATGAACACTGCGAAATAAAACAAAGTTACAACTGTAAAATACTCTTTAATTCAAAAACAAACTGGTTTAAACAGTGGGTTTTATATTATATAGGTACCCAATTATACTATAAAAGGCTACGTATAACGAAACAATTAGAAAAAATATACAGTTCATTAGAAGTCAACTATGATTTTCAAGTAAAATCTTCCGAAATACTACATTGTAGATAGGAATACAGCGAGTGATATTGTCTTAGTTTGATTTGAGATTGAACATGGACATGTTGGACATAACATATATATGAATATTTAAGAGCCTTCCATACTTGCAACAACGGCGACCATTCTACGTCGGTCGGCTTGGAACTATTTTTATAATTCTAGAAGCAGTGTTGTCCCCGTCAACTTTTTATAATATCACATATTCCGAGTCCTAGAGAGAAATGAGCAGGAAATATTGCAACGTTGAAGTCTTGTGTTGTTTTTGTTACTAATGAAATCGTCGACAAAAGGATACCAGAATAGAAGCTGTAGATATGGAAGACCCTAAATGTGACAAAAAATTATCAATAAGTTACAAAGAAAAGTAGGAAAAATGTAAACGTTAATTATAGCAAGTGCCAAGCAAAATTTATTAAATGTAATCACAACACTGACAATTGTGTAATTTTAAATATTGTGCTATAGAAATGGACGTGCTCAGAGCAATTTTACATTTGAGAAACATTCGCTTGAAGAAACGTTAAAATTATTCGATTAAGTAATTATGACTATGTTTCATTATTTGCTGTTCCACTTTTACTTTTAAGTAATTCACTATAGATTAAGATTTCACTAAGTAACTTGAGCAAGTTACACTTAAGTCGCCTACCAGACAACGTTCTAAAATTCACTAAATCCCGTTTGGCTTTTTAAAATTCACATGAAAAAGCCAAAGTGTCGGGTGTTATAAAAATCATATCAAAAACCATACAGGGAACTATGCTACTTAGTCTCTAAGAATCAGGTATACTTGGTAAATTTAGGCTTACACATAGTTTCAGACATGTATTTCCCTTACATCTATTATGAATTCGTGCTTTAGTGATGGGACAAGAAACCTCATAATTAATTGATACATGAAATTGGAACGAAAAATATGACTTTGTTTTGGCACGTGATACCTCTCCATCCATTTAAATCCCCATACCCTGACACTTACAAAAACAATGTATCTACTTTTGTTTGTATCTTGCCCCATCAAAAAGTGAAGAAATAGCAACAAACATGCAAGTGCGTGATATGTGCAATAATTTATTAACGTGGATTAAACTGTGTACGAGGTTAGCAAATAGAAATAAAATTATTGTAAATCCATTTTGAATCATTCACCGCCGACATTCATTTTTTTATCAATGATTGGAAATTGTGATGTCAAATATCACAACCAGGTGAAATATAACGAAAAATATAAGCAGGTGTCTCATTTACCTGCCAGAGCCACAGAGTGGGGACGACGGTAAAAACCTTTTCCTCCAAAAAGACGGAAAGCAAATTTTCATATGAAATACAAAAATGTACTTAATAATATATAAGAAGCATTTGGAAATGGTAGCTTCAATCTCACCATCGGTTTCAATATTTCCATTCTTTGATAACAATTATAAGCCACTACAAAAACAAAACATTACAAAAAACAAATCCAAGTAAACAGTTTCATAAACACTAACTTTAAAATCATTTGTTCGATTAAACTACTTTAAATTCGTTCCATATCCACCTATTGCTGATGTTCACAAATTGACTCTCGATTGATCAAACACGTCTTTGGTATTTCATTTATTGGAATTTGTCTATAACCTGACGTCTTCTTTCCCTTTTGCCTCAATAATTTTAAAGCAGTTGTGCTGCAAGGAAACTTGTTTTTATATAATGCTCCACTAGTAATGGGTTCATGGGCAAAAGGGAAATAAAGATTTTTTTATTATAATTTCGTTTTGTTTTTCAGACACACGCAATGCGTTCACGTTAGCACCAACTTACTTTTTACCCTATCCAAACTAAAATACTAGATACAAAATACAATTTCGCTACGTTTTGAACTAAATAGTCACATTAAAAGCAGACTAGTTCGTTTAGACCTTACACACGACTGTGTATTGATTAATTAACGCAAGCATCTAGTGCTATGGTGCTTGCATAATATAGTGCTTAGTAAAGACTGTTTGAATATGTATATGTACTGAGACGAAGTTGCGAAAATGTGGAGCCACTTTCGCTTTTCGCGAGTGTTCTTTGGTTTCGCGTCGTCTTGATTCATATCGTCGCTTCGAGAAGTCTTTTGGCCCAAATTACTCGCCATTTGTCATTAATAATTGATGGCATAACGACTCTTAACAGACTTAGTACTTAATTTAGTGCAAATCTGTGTCGTGTGCTCGGCTCATAACTGATTATTCTTTAACATTTATTATTAGATATTACACTGGATTGAGATCACAATTCAAAAACGGCTAAGTGTTTGTGCTAAATGTGCACCTGTATCTACGATACTTCTAAACATTGGCACATTTTCGTTTATTCGAGTAAGTTTAGATTGGGACACTAGTGATTTTTTCCAGACCATTCGAGATTATTATAACTTTCTAAACCTCTCAAGCTTTAAAAAAAATGTTAACAATTTTCATAAATACCAAATTTAGAATTTTATTTTACTTTTAAGACCTTATGAACGTGACGTCATGACATGTGAAGGACGTCATAAAATCACGTTCTCCGCTCCATTTAGACTACTTCATAATAGGCCATATTACTACCACATAATTATCCAGCTCAAATATACAATTGCAATTTAATAAATGAAAAACGTTGACAGCCAACTGCATTTGCACTTCCCTATGCAAAGCTGAATTGTGCCCGCGAATCTCTCATCGACTAACCTGGTCCAAAAAGAATAGTATGATGGTACGAGGCGGAACTGCAAGGAATTCCGTTGAATTTCTCACAGTTCTTACCATACAATTGATGTGCGGGCCAGAAACACCGTTAGAATAATATGTAATAATGTGCCTTTCGATGCACAAGACATGTGAGGCCCTAATGTTGTACTTAACGTGGAGGTGAAGCAACGGCCAGACGTTGACGTAGTCGTGCAAACTTCCCATGTACGATCCGTAGTTGCGCGCGCAATCTCGAAGAGAGTTCACGTTGTAGAGCCTGAACTTCTTCCAGCTCTTGTCTTAGCTGCTGGTAGTCCGAACGCACCTACACATAGAATTTCTTTTGACGAAATGTGTCGAGAAAATGAGTATGCTGTCAAGAGATCAATGTAGCCCTTCTATTTCAGTGCTAAAGTCAAAATGTATAGGACACAATGAATATGGCTTCTAAATGACAAAGAATCTCTTGACTGCATTGCATTGCATAACTGAAAAGCACATTAAGAATCAAATTGTCTAACAGCATGACATGAATATGGCTGCACCATATCTTGAAGTATTTTATGTATGACCGATGAAGTAATTTAGATAAAATAAAATTATTGGAAATTTTTAAAACATGAGTAAGAAGACAAAGCTTTCAAGAGCATAAATATTTTTTAAAATTGTATCTATCAGGCAATGATCTAACTGTGCAGATCAACTAATGTCTATTGAAAACATTTTTCTCCTATGGTACCACTGATAAACTGACAGTGCAGAAAATTTGTAACTGTTTTGTATTGTTTGATCTACTTGGTTAGACCAAGAGTAATAATAATACATTGAATAACTTTGTTAAATTATTTAGAGACTGAGTCCCGCAACGAATACTCAGAAGCCCAATAGGATGAAGCATAATAAACACACTGGACCCTTTTTGGAGGGCTTTGGGAGAATTGGGCTTGAATTTTGTACCACATTTAAGCCACATTCTTCTAATATCAATAAGCATGATAGTTACAGCTTGCAATTCTTCACAATACAACGAAAACATGGATTAGGGCTTGAGTTACATGTTGCGCAAACGGCATTTACTTTTATTATCGACTTATTTACTGTCACAGAACACTTACTCCACAAAAAAAGATACGTGATTTCAGGATGGAATATCCTATAACTTAGCATTTCTAAAATAATTAAAAATTCTTTGCATATTTAGGAAATGAAACTATTGTTCCGGATTTAAATAAACAAACCAATGTCCTTTACAGGTCCCATGGTCATGGTTGACTGAGATAGTACAGTCATCAACCCGTTTTGTCTAATATTAATGCAAACCACCCTATTTTTTCTATGAATTATTTGCATATTGTTAAAAATCACAATTCTGAAGTTAGTAGATCCTGTCACTACTCTGTTACGCTTTTGAGGTTAATATAAACCACATTTAATAAATGTACAATAACATCTGTGTTATTAAGCTATAATAGCATTATTATTTGATTAATATTGTTGACAGTAAATTGGGATTATAACTCAAGCCTTTTTTGTAGAAAAATTACAAGCTATAAGCAACATGACATTGTGTGTCCTGACCTGTGTTCAACACTATAATGCCCTGGAAACAAACATCATTTGTTTTTAAAATCCGATAGCAAAACATTTTACTACTAATTGAAACTTATTAATATCATACAGGACTATTTTAAATCTTTGTAGATTTTAAAATAATCTATTGGATGGTAAAATAATTAAACAAAAATAAGTGTTACTACATGTCGGAAAGTCAAACTAATTATCTAGTTTCAATGGGCTGGTACCTGTGCCATAGGTCCCAGAGTAACCAATATAATCCTCAAATAATATAGAAAACTTGGTGTCCAAAATTGGTCAACCGGGAATCGAACCCGGAACCATGGTCATCAATCACTCAATTCTATCCATTGGCCATCAAAAATTGTTAAATTAGTATTATGAAAACTTCTTAAAACTATTTACAAAAAAGTTTTGAATACACAAACCACTTCACAATGCTGGTTTTGGTTCTTTTAAGGAATTTGGTTACATAGCAAATGAGTAAATAGAGTTCAAAGATAATTGTACACTAGTCATAGTGGCAAGTTTATCAGACAGGTTAAGAGAGATAACAATATTTACAATAGTTGAATATTGTGTCACAATTTAATACATTAATGTAATATAATATACTGTATTCCTGATATTAAATATTGGATGTACACCTGTACACTCAATAACATATATCAATAAATTATGTTTCAAATCCATAGTAAATTCTGCTATCAACTTAAAGGCTTGTAATGCTTTTCTGTCAACTATTTGTTACTGTTGTAAACAAAACATTATGTTATTAACAATTTGTAAACCAAACTTTTTACTATAATTAATGTTATGTCAGTGGTATGTACCTCAGAAACAGATTTGAGCAGGTTCATAATACACATGTCCTGGCCGTCTACAGGCACCACCAGATCTTTGTCTCCATCTTCTATCTTCCACGCCATCAGGTCAAGTTGCTCATCTGTGCGTTTCACCTGGAATCAGGTTGTAACACATTCTGTAGGCGCTGATATATCCGGAAGGAGCTTAGGTGGCAGCAGTAGGGCCCTGTACTCATGTAATGCAAAATGGGCACTCCGCTGCCTAGTTGCGGATGTTAGAATAATACATTAAAAAAACCTTTCCTTGGAAATTAACAGGATGAAATCAATTTAAGCTCTTGAAGCGTAATTACAATCAATATAGCACGAGAGCACATCAAGCCATTGATAGATCTTGTTCTGTTACTTTGAAGGTGATATTCGAATAAAGGTTGTACAGCTTGAAGTGATGTTGATTATACAATAATATGATGATATAATTGAAATAAGAGTGCAAATATCCTGTACAGGAAAGACAAAAAAGATTTTTAAGCAAATAGGTTGTTGCTATGCTTATTCACAAGGAAGTTAAATATAACAGTAGCTGGCAGTGATTGTGGGGTGCCCAGTTTTAGACGAAGCAAACGAACAATAATTTATTCAACTTTTCCCCTATGCAACAACTCTACTCCATTCATAAAACATGACCAAACAAGGCATAACAGTCACAAAACAAACATTGCTTTTATAAGTCGAATGCTCTCTCAATCAACGTACTCCTAGCATTATTGGTTTCCAATAAGTGCACTCTACGCAGTATCTGTATGTTCCAGTTATAGATGCCTTACCATTATCTAGTATTAAAATTAAATATTTATAGGAAACAATCGGCGCTATGACCTACTTTTCTATTCCAGCGTTTGATTCCATTAATTCTTATGACAAAAGCCGATTCAGCTACTTACCGTCTCCTCGAGCTCCTCCACAGAAATATCTTTCTCACTTTCAGTCATTTTACTGCAAAAAATTTCGTATTGAGATTAAAATTATAACTAAAATTAAATTATATCATTGAGCAACGCGACCATTTTCATGAAAGCAATGACATTTCTGAAAATCTGTGTTGCCAGAATAAACCAAAATGTTTGTATATTATGTGGTTCTAAATAAAATGTTAAACGGTTACGTCAACTTTTTCCGTCCTTTAGGGTCGTATTCCAGAACTCTACTAAGGGTCGTATTCTAGAACTCTACTCGATGCTCAAGTCAGGATTTGAGCATGGTATAAAGCACTCGAAATCATACTCAAGTCCCTGCCATTAGGGTCGTAATCCCAGTGCTTGTGTTTCCAGTGCAATCCTGACTTGAGCATTGAGTAGAGTTCTAGAATACGACCCTCAATATGCAAGTCAGGACTTGAGTATTGCAGTGAGCACTGAAAATCATACTCAAGTTCCTGCCATTAGGGTCGTATTTCCAGTGCAATCCTGACTTGAGCATTGAGTAGAGTTCTAAAATACGACTCTTAGGGTCGTATTCTAGAACTCTACTCAATGGTCAAGTCAGGATTTGAGCATGGTTTAAAGCGCTCGAAATCATACTCAAGTCCCTGCCATTAGGGTCGTATTTCCAGTGCTTGAAATCATACTCAGATCCTGACTTGAGTATGCTCAATGCTCAAGTCAGGATTGCAATTGAAACACAAGCACTGGAAATACGACCCTAATGGCAGGGACTTGAGTATGATTTCTAGTGCTTTAAATCATACTCAAATCCTGACTTGAGCATTGAGTAGAGTTCTAGAATACGACCCTTAGAGCATTTAGCACAATACAAGCAATAATTATGTCAAATAAAACTATTTTGAAATTCAACATCCAACTGTTCTACCAGCGAGGTGAAATGAGACGAAGCGAAACAAGGATTGTGTGGCAAAATTTCAATTTTCTCTTAACAATATCTTCAGTGGAAATAGTATGGATTGACGAGAATCGAAATATTAAATCGTGTTACTGCCTTCATAGAGTAAATAACTTCGCAACAGTAAACACTGGCTATTAATGTATATTTCGTGGAAATAGGGTGGCTAAGTTTCAATTTTCGTCTCGTCTCACCAGTGGAAAAGAACCATTATTTTTATGCTCATACCCATTCTATTTTATTTTATATGCTCGTATAGCATGGATTTTGAGCCTAATAGCTTCTTTAACATCCAAAGATCGGTGGGATGTAATACCTACCTGCACAAATAAATACATTTTTTTATACAACAGCGGTTTTCATATTCGAGCAGACATTTTCGTGGTGAAATGTTGAATAAATAGGTGAGTAATAAAAAACTAAATTTAATTTATATACATTTATTTTTGTCTTTATACATCAAAGACGTCGAGAAGAGATGGGAGCGTGAGCATGACATAGAATTTGAATATTTTAATGATATCAGTGATTGATTCCTGTAACACTCATCGATGCACGAACATCGATGCTAACATTTAACATATAGGTTTTATCTCTCTGAGAAGCCTACATACAACTAAACAATGATGTATCTTCGGGGCTACATAATGTAATATAGAATCACGTTTAGTCTAATAACCATTTTACACGTGCTAGTCTACTTACAATCAATTTGATAATGGCAAAAATATTTTTTTTTTAATTTGAAAAGTATTGCACTTACACGATATTTGAATTAAAACGTGTATATCTAGTAGTATAGTCTGAATGTAAAAGTGTATATTTGGAATACCAGCATGTTTAGGTAAAACATAAGTTTTGATGTAAACATTGAACAATTCAACTACATTAACATAAGAAATTAAATAAAAACAAGGGTCAGTGACATTTGTACAAAAATTAAAATTTGATTATTTCGTATACTTTTCAATTACGAAACCAAGTATGGATGCGCTTTCGTCGTCCGTCAAACTAAATATAAGAATCACAATCAACTCGTATTATTGTCCTAAAACTATTAAAAAATTTATTGTAACAAATAATCAAGTAAAATAGATAAATAACTAAAACCGTAGGGTCCTAAATATTAGTTTATGCAACAGCATAGATAGATCACTTTCTGCAGACTAATAGTAAATTGCTTAAGATATGCCGTACTGTATGTACTGGCCCCCTTTCCGAACGCCCGTTATACGTACACCTAACACTAAATGAGTCACTTAATGCAGTGGCGCGGAGACAAAAAGAGTATCTACAAACTTAATACGTCTTTCACACCATACTAGGCCTTTGGTTACATGTTATTGATTATGGGTTTTGGCTTACAAGGGTCAATTCCCAAATCGGTTTCGTCTCCACGCTTCAGAAAATAAGGGAACTGCAACATTGTCAGTCCGTACCGTCCGTTCTTGGGCCGTAAAAGTACATGAATAATAATGTATCTTTATCTACGTTGCGATTATTTTATGAATGAAACATTCGGAAATCGGGGAGCGAGTTCCGCACGCTGCCGGTCCGGGATTGTAACACGAGAATACAGGACTAAATTTAAGCCGATCGCGGTCCAATAGCGTGCGAAAGTTTTAAGACAAATCAGTCGCGTCGCGTCCGTAATTGACTACGTTCGAGAGCCGCACCCGCGGGCGGTTCGGGCCGTTCCTAAACTATTCGCTAAAAGGGCGTATACTCTCCGGTTTCGTACAAAAGCTATTTCTCTATTCACACTTACTCGCGACCCTTACCAAACGCGCCCGAGCGCCAATCGCAGAGCGGACGGGCCAGTACACGCCCTCCGGCGGCGAGCGCCTCGGCCGAGCCGGCCCGAGCCGGCCCGAGCCGAAGCGTAAAACAAGAGAGAGAGGAACTGGTGAGTGCGCGGGCGGCGCGCGCTCACTTGAGCGCGTCGATGGAGTCGAAGGTCTGCTCGCTGACGGAGACGGCGTCGGCCGACAGCGCCTCCTTGAGCGGCTCCACGCAGTTCTTGGGGATGAGCGTGCCGACGATCTTCAGCCCGTCGTCGGTCTTGATGCGCACCACCTGCATCTTGTTGAGCTGGCTGCGCGCCGCCAGCACGGCCTCGACGCGCGCCCACACGGCCAGCACCGACCCCGCCAGCACGTGGTAGGTGCGCCGGCGCAGGCCCACCTCGCAGTCGGCGGCGTTACGGCAGGACGACTTCCAGTAGGCGTGCGAGCACACGCGCAGCGACGCGTCGTACTGCGCGCGCCACGACAGCTCCGCCTCCTCGCTGCTGGCCTTCTTGTACTTCTTCTCGACCTCCGCCAGGGACTCGTGCCGCAGTTGCGAGCCGGTGTTTGGCCTGGAACGAGCGTCGACGTTGTAGCAAATCTATGTCAAATTTCAGTTTCATGCCGTCACACTTTCCGATGCTCTTCCCGCTACTGTTCACGATGGCAAATCCTTAGCAATTTTCTAAATGAGAGTTTGGGAGCACTATTTATCGGCAGTTCCATCCAATTTATAGATATTGTAGTACGAAATATGTTTTATCTAAGTACTTATATACTTTTGATAATTATTATTAATACAAAGATCGAACACTAAGAAAGAAATCCTTCGATCCAGCCGGATTCGAACCGACGTCTTCTAGCATACCGCGCCAGACGCTTATACCAACTAAGCCACGGCACGAACCAGCGGACCTCACGAATTTTTGTATGTGGTTTACAAACTAGTGGAGTAATTTCAAAAATAATTGAATATCAATTCAATAAAAAATAAAAATAATTTTATGTTTTTGATATTATTTTATAATTCATAATTTATGTTTTGTTGTGCACGTAAAGCCGTTATAGTAATTATTGTCTCCTGTATTTAGGTATACAGGAAGAAATTTTTGTTAGAAATAAGCTTTTGTTTATTTTCCTTGTTACTAAATGTGATTTTTCTGTACAATAAATAAAATTATATAAAATGTGACCAACTCCACGAAAAAAATTGTATAAAGGTACCTGTACAGCTGGAACATTTGTTCCTTTTTAGTGAGCTTCTCCTTCTTTCCGGTGGGTCTGACGGCCACGCACAGCACGGCCGTGTACTTGTTGTTGCGGGCTTGCTGCGACAGGTAGAAGCCTTCCTTCGGGCCGGTCAGCTCCGACCATTTCTCTAGCGCTTCTGTCCAGTCCATACCGCGCTATAAACGATACAAATTGTAATAAGTCAGGCCCTGTACTCTCATTCCCCGTCCGAAACAATTACTGTCAAATACTACTCGACCAAATCGAATAAAAACGTATGATGCGAATGAAGCTTCTGCCATTGTCTTTAAATTTGGTCGAATGTTACTTATTTGACAACATTGACTTACAAATAAATGGACGACGGGTCTAATACAAAAACCACGAAAAAAATGTCCCAAGTCAACCTATTTAAACGTAGTGACATGTAAAGGAATATGAAAAAGCTAAAACGTTGAATTTAAATTGTAATGTCATCGCAGTACTGTCTAATTTTGCTTGCTTCGCTGTCAGTCGAACAAACGAAGACTAAAGCGTGAATGACGCTCTGTATACGATTTTAACGCCCTATAAGTTCGGACACTTTAGCGCGGACCCGACGTCCATATAATTGTAAGTCAATGTTTGACAAGCATTGTTTCATACGGATGCAGAACGGAGAATGAGAGCAGATACGATAAACGCGATAAACAATAGTCATTTCTTATGCATGGCTGCAAAGTTGTTGTTTGCCGCGAGTGTTTGTATTGAAAGCTGAGCAAGCGAAGGAGTCCAAGATTCACGAGACGCAAAACAACTTTTCACCACACTAATAGCGAGGGAAACGGTAGATGTAAGAAAAACAGTTCAACAAAAATATCAGCTTATTTAATTATAACAAAAGTTTATCTTCGGATGCGTTCCGAATTTACGCCTAGTCATTTACGCATCATCATTCTTGCACGTGCAGTACTTTTATTTTGTGTGATATAAGTGATTATTGAAATTATTTTAGTCCTTTGACGAATTAAAATAATTTAATAAACTCAATTAGTTATGTGTACAATAATAAGAATAAAATATACCAACAGATTTACATTACATAAATAAGTACATAATGTATACGATCGCGTAGTTGAACGTGACATTATCTTTTTCTTTCATCGAAAGAAAAAGTTAGGTGCACCACAGTCCATCGTCAACTTCGAATTTCAAAACCCTTTTCCACGCTGGCGTGCAAAACCGGGACCAAGCACTGGCTGTACCGACCTCGGAGTGCACGGTGTGCAGCTCGACGGGCGCGCGGCCGGTGGCGTGGCGGCGCAGGAAGCGCAGGCAGCGCACGCGCCGCACCAGCTCGCCCGCGCTGCCCAGGTCCAGGATGCCGAGGTCGAAGCGGCCGCTGCGCTTGGCTGCAACAGACGAACTCGCACGTCTTCATTTCGTACGCTTTGCAATGCATTTCTCATTACATTCTTTCTTTTAAACATCTCAGATCGAGACTACCTGCAAGACCTAACGGGCCACTACCACGGATTTTTGTCATCCATGTCCGCGAAAGCTGTATAATACCTTTGGTACAAAGTTTTTGTTTGACTATTGTTTTAAACCTCGTAAGCGACAAATTTTGAATATCAATCGGAATCTTATTATAGAAGCGTATATATGGCGATGTTAAACGAGTTTGAGGCTTTGCGAAGACTGTCAAGAATAGCTAGTTTATTTTTATACCTCGTATTAATGTTATACCTGCCACTACATTTCATTAAAAAATTAATATTTTTCTTAACATAAATAACATTTTCATAAATGTACTGTGACATTAGTGTAAGAATGTTAATCTCTTCAAACTTATCTCACAAAGACACTTTGGAGCCCAGATTGCAAATGCCCTTACCGCACTGCAGGTTTGTCCTGCAGAAACCTGCAGGACAAACCTGTCTACCCCAAAGCAAAATGCTGTATGTCATTAAACTGTGAAAGTAGCTGAAGTAAACCAATCTAGCCGTTTCGACGTCTGAAAGTTCCGTCCAACACGCTCCTCCGAAGTATAGTAACAACCGAAATCATGTTCGCATTAAACACTGTCATTTGTAAAAACAGCTAAATACCTTGCTCCATGACCGCTGCGAGGGTGTCGGTGAAGTACTTGAAAAGCCTATTTTGAAGTTCTACCGGCATTCCCAATATCCTATTCAGGAACTTGGACATGTTATTGTAATCCTGAAAATGGTGACACAATAATTAATTATAGGCATGTGTTACTCCTTCAGTTGCTAGGAACTGATAAAAATAACAGTACCACAGTAATAATAATAATAACGCACACACTCAACATTATATATGTATATGTGTTGAAATAAATGTAGGTCATACAAATATTTCTCCCGGCCCGGGAGGCGAACTTGGGAACTGTTCGTGACGTGGCAGTCCGGCACCGTTATATTAATAATAATATTAAAAAAACGGAGGAGACTAAATTGATGAGGTAAGTTGATACACAGATTGTGTATTTGAAACAAAAGTTCTCTCTTATAATTTTACTGATGTATTCTGAACGATATACACATGTGTAAAGTGTTTTGTATCATACTGAAGGTATGAAACACAACTATAATTCAAATGCAATTTCAATAGATATTTTAGTTAATTTAAAAAACCATGTATCATATCATTAATATATTTAAAAAAGTAATAACACCAACATGTCAATTCATTGCCTATGATTAAAATTCATACTTTAAGGATGAATACACGCACTATACATTTATTCATTAAATTACCGAAAACTTTTTATCTATATACCTCAACTCTAGAAAATGCAACGTAATGATTACTTCATTTGCACGTTGTAAAATGCAAATGCAAAATAATGAATTTTTGAAAAAATAAAGACATGGTGTTTCCGCTCCTTTGTTACAAATAAACACTGAGTGTTACTTCTTACTTTAATTTAATGTATTTACTTTTCATTTAAAACTGAGGCTTATAAAAATAGTTTATGAAATACGTACATTAGTGCACATCGTTGCAAGGTTATATTTAGTAGATTTCTAAGAACTGTCACAGGGACCATTCTAGATTATTTTTAGTGTAATATAATAGTGATGCACACCTTGTCGAGCGATAGCACGCCGGGCGTGCTCTCGTTGTTGACGATGAGGCCGACGCCGACGAGCGCCGAGGCCACATCCTGGAAGAAGTCCCCGTTGTAGTCGGCCGGCGGCGCCACCAGCGGCTGCTCGTACTTCATTATCGCGCGCATCACCGCCTCCAGCGCCGTGCGCCCTGAACACGATTAACAACTTCATTAAGAAAATCTTAAAAAGGCGTGGTCTCTAGTCTGCTAATTTTAAATCATCTCAGTTGGGTGTCGGTAGCATCGAGTATTGAACCAGAAATAGATACGAAATGTCATTTAATTTGTTTGAAAACTATTCCGCCAAATCATTACGGTGACAACTGCGCTTCGATTGGTCAGCCCGAATTCAAAACAACTGACGGGTGTCGTCAATTGTTTTACTTCAAATCTACCAGTTTAACTTGAGCTTAGCTATATTGGACAAAAATTGCTAAATTACATATTTAATTACTGATGAAAAGCGATTCAGTTTGTTTTGTAACTAGATGTTTTGCTGTTTTTCCCACACCACCGAACAGAACAGCCTCCCATTGTTAGAGATATATATTATCTTTATTACGATAAATATACAGACTATTTTTGGAATATACGGAGACGTACACACAGGTCAGTTGTTGGCTCTGTACTATCTCAGCATTCTAATTTGTGAATTCAGTGCAAACGAGTGTTGATATTTAAAAGTGATATTAGGCCCATTTGCCTGATGAGTTGCCAGGAATGGATGGCCCTGATTTCGTCTCTATTTCTGGTTATATACTCGATGGTCGATAGGGTCAATAGCAGAGTTTTGTACGTTTGGTATTCTGCTACCAATTAATAGCGGCTTGCTTGTGGCTAGCCGTAGAGCTACTATTCAACTGCCATTGTAATTTTGTCGCATTCTGCTCTTTAACGGCGATTC